GAAATTTGATAAGATAACTAAGGGCACCTTTTGGGCTTGGAGAATTATTGGTCAGGGTTCCCTTGGTGCATAAAGGAGCAGCTGCCTGGGAAAAATCCTAGCCTTTGCTCATTAATAGGAAGCCCTAATGATCTCCATAACCTTGTAAGAGACACCCCAATAAATGTTATTAAAGATATATTATTGTGGGCTGGGGATATAGTTAAGGGGTATAAGCACCTGCGTGGCAAGTGCAAGGTTCTGAGTTCAGTTCCTGGTACAAAAAAAATTTGTGATATGTCTATATTGGTCATCAAGAGGAACAAGTTTTCCAGACAATATTTTCATTTAAAGATGCTTTGGTAAAAAGATTTTTTTGTCTTTTTTGAGATGGGGTCTTGCTATGCAGTTCAGGCTGGCCTTGAGCTCACTTTGTAGCTCAGGCTGGTCTTGAACTCACAACAATCCTCCCACCTCAGCCTTCTGAGTGCTGGAATTATAGGCATGAGCCACCATGCCTGGCTTGGAAAAAAGATTTTTGTATGGGTATAATTTTTATTTTTATTTTTATTTTTTTTTTGAGATAAGAGCCTCGATGTGCAGTTCAGGCTGGCCTTAAGCTCACTTTGTAGCCCAGGCTGGTCTCGAACTTGCAATGATCCTCCTGCCTCAACCTCCCAAGTGCTGGGATTACAGGAGTGCACCACCACATCTGGCTGAGTATGATATTATTGTTGTTTTTGTAGTGAATTAAGGGTATTCATGCCTTTAGATTTACAGGTCTTCCATAGGGTAGAATAAGGACTGTTTCTAGTGATAAATTTTTCTTTCAGATTTAGACATGTCTTTAACAAAGAACTTACATGACATACATCCCCTTAGAAGCCAATCACTTAGGTAAAAGTTTCCTATGTATTAGACTTAATTGATTAAAAAAAAAAAAGAAGTAATACTATGTCAAAATGAAAATTTAAATGTTACAAAATGTCAGTATGATTGTCATGCTGCAATTTTATGTATGATTTCGGGTTTCTAATTTTCTGTGTAAAATATATGACTGTTATCTGTTAATTTTTTTTTTTTTTTTTTTTTGGACTGGGGATTGAATTCAGGACCTCACACTTGCCAGGCAGCCGCTTATGCTGCTGAGCTAAATCCCTAAATCCCCAGCCCATCTGTTAATATTCTTTAAGGACTCAAACATTAGAATATCCATAGTTGTTATAGAATAACAGTTCTATATCATGTTCTAAGGTGCTGATAGTCATATGACAGTAACATTAAGCTTACGATCCATTATGTGACGTCATTAATCTTTTCTTCTGGATGTTCAACAACTAAGGTTAGAGACTGAAAGATTAGAAAGATCAGGGAGGACCCAGGACACAAGAGAACCTGTGCCTCAATAGCCTAAAACTTGGGGCCAGGACATAGCTCAGTGGCACAGCACTTGCGTGGCAAGCACAAGGTCCTGAATTTGATTCCTGGTATCAGAAAAAAAATTTTTTGAAATTATCCTATAACTTGTGAGTCCTCAGTCTTCTGGTCAGGGAGTTTACTGGCTCACAGACGAAAGTGATCTATAATGTGTGGTGTGCTAAGGAGAATCACCAGGAGAGGGAGATCTCCTAGGCTTTCACAGAAAGCCACTTGGTCAAGCAATGGCTGTGACTCATCCAGATGGCTGTCACCGACAGAAATACTAAGAGGTGCTGCCATGGTTCTAGGAGAATTCCTGAGGAGACTTAACTGAACTTGAGAGATGGAAGAGATTGATTTTGAGTGGTAAGGGTCTCACTCTGACCAGGTTTTACACATCCAGCAGAAAAGCGTAACCCTAAGAAAGCAAGCTGTCTGCAGAGGCCTTCAAACATTGTTCCTCCAAATTCAACTGGATCAGCCACAGAAACAGGAAAAGGGGAGATGCTGGGAACTGATGAGCTAGTGACTGCCCACAGGTGTGGAGTTGAAAGCAGAGAGCCCAAGGAGTGTCCCAAGGGCACACAGTGCCCACACGAACAGGCGCTCCAGCCCCAAGAACCCGAGCTAGTTAGGGACAGGGCGGCATAGGGCAGCCCGGGAAAGATGCACACAGTACCCACTGTGGTGGTGAGCAGTCACTTCCGCCCACCTGGAGGCAGGGCCCCCTTGCCCAGCTTTCTGTCTCTTCTTTTTCTTCCTGTTTTTTTGCTGGGGGAGGGGTACTGGGAATCAAACTCAGGACCTTGTGTTTGTCAGGCAGGTGCTTATCCCATTAGTAGCTATACACCCAGTTCTATCTTTATTTTCTTCATCCCCTTGTCATTCTCCCCCCACCCCCAAAATTGAAAGCACAGGTGGAGGATGCCACAGTAAAACCAGGACCCTGTGTTGCCTGGAGAAAGGCTGTGCAAGGGCTGTCATCCCAGCATCCTAGGAGGCTGAGACAAGAGAATCAACACTGAGCAGCTTAACCAGATCATGCCCCACCCTCCAAAAAAAAAAGGGGTGGGGATGTAGCTAAGCAACAAGGCTCTGAGTTTGATCTCCAGCACTGCAAAAACACACAACCCACCCAGAGCTAATTTCCCTAAGAAAGGGCAGTGGTGCCAAGGAGCCAAGCATGATGGCTCACGCCGGTAATCCCAACACTTGGAAGGCTGAGACAGGAGGATTGTTGCAAGTTCCAGGCCTGGCTGGACCTCAAAGTGGTTTACGACCAGCCTGAACTGCACAGTGAAACCCTGTCTCGAGAAAACAAAACAAGACCCACCCACCCCACCCAAAGAACCAAACCAGGGTTCTGCCACCATGTAACATCCCTGGGCTACTTGCCAAAGACCTTGGATCTGTCCAAGGGCCCACAGGGCAGGTGTGCAACTCCATGGAGCCTTTCTAAGACCACAGGCTCAGGGTTCTGACCCAGCAGTGGCCTGAATCCTCCTTGGGGTAGGAGGGAAGAATTAATGCGCTGAGTCCGAAGCAGAGGATTGGATGCAGGTGCCAGGGCTAGCAGCTGGCATCCCCAGGCAGCAGGGAAGGCGCTGTGGCCCAGGGCAGCTCAGTGGTATTTGTGTGCAGTTACTATGCAGGAAGGAAATGGGTTCCACCTGAATGGATGGAGTGTTAAAGCCATGGGGGGAGGTGGGAGCTGGAGACTGGCCAAGTGGAAAGAGGCTGGTGCAGATTTAGAGCCTGCTATGCGATTGAGGGAAGGGATGGAACTGGAGGAAGCCTAGGTGGTGGCACCTGCCTGTAATCCTGGTACTCTGGGAGGCTGATGCAGGAGGATTTCTAATTCCAGTCCAGCTTGGGCCATTTAGCAACATAGCAATGCAAGGTCTCAAATAGCAAAAGGGCTGGTGGTGGAGGAGTATCTTAATGCACAGACCCTGGGTTCAGTCCCTAGCATTGAAAGGAAAGGAAGCAAGCAAGTCGGTTTAGGGCTGGGCGGAGCCATGTTGGTGGCTGAGGGCGCAGGTGAAGGGCTGGCAGCAGAATCAGTGTCCAGCTGCTTTGCAAGGGCTGTGAAGGGAAGAGGTCCCATTGGTCCGCGGCCTCCCAGGCAGATGGCCAGAGCTCGCCTGTGCCTGGGAACTGAGGTGCTGGGCGGTGAGGAGGGCACCCCAGCTTTGCTGGGAGGAAGCTTGGGTACTGGCTGTTGTTGTAAACAGTGCCCCACCCTGAGCGGAAGCACCTGCGGCCTGGAAGCCGCACCTGTGTCCTCTCCCTGGGCTGTGTTCCCTGTCCCAGGTGCCCCTCTCTGCAGAGCTCCCGCTCCCCCCTGCCTGCACTTACCAGGCCCCGCCCGCCCTTCCTGCCCCCCAAGCAGCCCACTTCCTCTGTGGCAGCCACCGCCCTAGCTGGGTAAAAGGCAGTGCCGGGTGTCAGTGCACCTTCCTGGCGGCCACTCCACTTCTCTCCTCACGGCCCTGTCTCCCAACCCTTGTACCAGTGCTGTGCCTCAGACGCTGGTACAGGCCTGGGGGGCAGGGAACTGGGGACTGTGGCACCTGTGGGCCCCCGGCGAAGGCAAGACCCCCGGCATCTTGCTGCCCTCAGGCATCCTGGACTACACTCAGGTGCAAGACTTCCTTTCTTCCTGCTTATTTCTGATAAGCTCTTGCTGTAGTTCAGACCTGGCCTTTAAGCTCTCGGCAGTCCTCCTGCCTCAGCCTCCTCAGTACTGGGCTCATTTCTGTCCTTTCTGAATGTTTCTGACATCTGCTCTGCAGAGTCCTGGCCTGTGTGTCTGTGGGCCCACCTCTCGGCTCAAGGTTTCTGCACTACCCTCTGGCCCTGGCTGCCACAGAGGATGCTCTGGGGCTGCCAGAGTTGCCACTTCCCACTTCTACATCTTGACCCTGTCCCCACTTATGAGTCAACTGAGGACCCTGCTTTCTCGGGTTGTTAGGTCCCAAGTAGGGTGAGACAGCACACACCCGTTAACCCCAGCACTCTGGGAGGCTGAGGCAGGAAGACCACAAACTCAAGCCTAAGATGAGCAGCTTAGCAAGATCCTATCCAAAAAGGAGGTGGCTGGGGAGGAGGGCCTGGGAGGTTGCTCAATGAGGGGGAAAGGGGGTACTGAGATCTGGGCTACTCATCAGGTCCCTTCCAGGCCACTTGTCCTGGAGGCCTGCTCCCTGGGGCTGGCCTAGCCTGCATAGCCCCTGGTGCAGCAAAGGACACAAACTCGAACCTCTCACGCCTTGAGGTAGACTGGCTGGTGCCTGCCCCTACCCAGGTATTTATGTGGGGTGAAAGGGTCTCTGGGGCCCCTCTCCTAGCTGGTGGGGAGGCAGGAGGCCCAGACGAAGCCCAGAACTAGGAGACACTGTGACTAGAGCCACAACATAGGGCACCTCCACCCTCCTCACTTCCTCCCCAGAGACTGGAGGGCAGAGGACTGCCAGCACCAGGTAGCTGGGTTCATAAAGTGACAAGGGCCAAAAAAGGACCCCAGGATGCAGCAGGCAGGGCAGCCCAACCATGTCACCCACCACACCCAGAGCCTCGCCATGACAGACCCAAGCCTGGTCTGTGAGAGCCAAAATAATTTTATTCCTTTTGGGGTGCAACTAAGCACCCTCAGAACTTCTGGAACTGCTTCTTGGTGCCGGCAGCCTTGGTGACCTTAAGCACATTGAAGCGAACTGTCTTGCTCAGTGGCCTGCACTCGCCCACGGTGACAATGTCGCCAATCTGGACGTCCCTGTGGGGGCGGGCAGGAGCAGACCTTCAGAAAGTGTCACCCACTGACCCTGGCCCAGGGGGGCCCCCAGAACAGCCTGGGGACCATGCTACCCCCTTAGCACATGCAGCCACCCACCCTGCTCCCAGGCTACTGTCATAAGGCATTTAGTCCTGACACACAGGACAGCAGCAATAAACCTGACCCGACTTCCTGGCTGCCATGTGCCAGGACTCTCAGCCCTGTCACTCACCTGAAGCAGGGCGACAAGTGCACAGACATGTTCTTGTGACGCTTCTCAAAGCGATTATATTTGCGGATGTAGTGGAGATAGTCTCGGCGGATGACAATGGTCCTCTGCATCTTCATCTTGGTCACCACACCTGCGAGTTGGGAGCGAGACAACAGATCATTGGTCACTCAGGCCTTGTTGGAAAAGGAGTCATGGGAGCCCAGGTCGTGCTGGGAATGAAGCAGAATCAGCTGAGCATGGGTCCCCAAACCCTGTTTCTGGCATCAGTGTTGCCAATCAGCTTTCTCAGCAGTGCCTGTGGCAGGCTTCTGAAGACCATCGTGAGAACAGACATCACCTGCCAGGGCCCCAACTGCTTCTTCCAGTAGGTCAGCCCTGGAGTCCCCCACTCACCAGATAGGATCCGCCCTCGGATGGAGACGTTCCCGGTAAAGGGGCATTTCTTATCGATATAGGTGCCCTCGATGGCCTGGAAGGATAAAAAGCATTGGAGGAGTGAACACCGGATTTGTTCTTAACAGAAATGGGGGCGTGACCTCAAAGACACAAACTACAATTCCCAGCAGCCCCAGCGGCAAACGTGCCATGGTCAAGACACCTCCACTCCCACACGTGCAGGCACCGGGCAGTCTTGTTTTCTTAGGAGATTCCTTCCTCACCTCTTTGGGGGTCTTGAAGCCCAGACCAATGTTCTTGTAGTACCGAGGGAGCTTCTCCTTGCCAGTTTCTCCCAGCAACACCCTCTTCTTGTTTTGGAAGATAGTCGGCTGTTTCTGGTAGGCGCGCTCTGTCTGCAGGGATGGAGAAGGAAGCTGGTGAACTTGGCATAGGCCAAGACTTGGACTAGAACTGCTTTTTCCGGAGCCCCCAGACCCACCCTCTACGGAGTTAGTTCCCAGATAGTAGCCTGGGACCACATGTCCACTCTGAAAACTGAGTTTATCTGCAATCCACAGATGCCCGCCAATCTAAGCCAGGACTGTTCAATTCGTACGCTCCACACCTCCCGCTACCTGAATTCACCCCTTAGGACTCATCCCCAGAATTAAAACCTTAAGGTTAAAGACCGAACATATAACCACCTAAAAAAAGTTTAACTCCTAAAATGCTTGACATTCCATTAACATGCGAGTTCGCAGGATTTAGAAAGCAGTAATCTACGTTAAATCTGTCGTTCCGGTTACTGCCTACCCGATAGGAAACGCCCGGAATAAACTCCAAACGGCGCAGTGCCCTGTATTCCCGGAAGCTACTAGGAAGGCGGGGGAGGGCCCACTCTTTCGGCCCCAGCTCCGAGAACCTACCTGAATGTCCGCCATCTTCCCGGCCGGCAGAAAAAGAGAGCGACCGTACCGTGCGGGTTTCCTTATCGACTGTGCAGGGTCTAGGCAGGAAGTGACGAAAGGAGGCGGGCCCACGTTTGTGGGCGGTACTGTAGGTACGATTTTGATCGACAGGTGACATTACCCAACCACACGATTCGGGGACCACATGGACGCGGCCATAATGGTGAAGGATGGAGGAGCGGAAAACGTGCACACTGTCCGCGAGATTTCCGTCTAGTTTTCCGCCTGAAAGCACTCTTAGAATGGGTGTGGCTTATATTCTCGCGAGACTTGTAAGAAGGTCGCCCTGTTTTTGCGGGGCGTACGTTCGCTTGGAAATTGGAGACCGCATGGTGGTGTAAGTGTAGGCTCGGAACGGGAAGAGATGGCAGCGGCCATCTTCCTGTGGGACAGGCACAAGGGTCCTAGGACTGCCACGGTGCCGCCATTGTGAGAGGCGGAGCCTTCCCCCCAGATTTCAGAAGCTTTGTGAAGTTACTTTTCTCGTGTCCCACTTCACCCCAGACTGTGACGGAGGGGTGGTTCTGGTGTTTTCTATGTACAAGGCGAGAGTGGAAATGTTCTGTGCCGCTGCCATCACTCTAGCCATGTGAAACATGGCTTTTGCTGCTGAGAATTTTAGTGGCTTTAAATTTAAATAGGCCCAATGGCTAATGGTTACTGTGCTGAACAACAGATTTGCATTTACTTTTTTTTTTTGTCCGTACCAGGGATCAAACTCACGACCGCCTGCTTGCAAGGCAGGGGCTTATGCCGCTGAGCTAAATCCCCAGCCCCTGGCCCTTATCTTTTTAAGTGGATCCTGGTTTTGGAAACATTACATCGTATGGTAGAGCTTTGTGCTTTTAAGTCTCTGCACAGCTAGCTTCTCTGGTCTGGTAAAGAAACCACCATCTACTGAAAATACCCGGGCTGCTGTGTTGTCTGCAGTTTGAGAAGGTTAGTAAGCCCGTGACAAGGCCCCATGAGCTGTGACAAGGCGCTGTTCCAAGCTGTGCAGCAGGGTAACTCAGGGTGAAACCTCCTACACCTCATCTGCTAACACAGTGGGGGTCGTGGGGATGAGCCCCGATTACTGACTTAACCCCTTATGGGGCAGGGATGTGGCTCAGCTGCAGTGCCTGACAGTCTTAGTACCAAAAGAATGAAAAAAGTAGGAAAACCTCAAACATGTCTGAGCTTAGTGGGGAATCCACACAAACCCCACGTGGGTAGGTGGTTCAATCAACACCCCCTTATTCCTGCACTGGGACCCCTGCAGCCAGGTAGGGGAGCCCAACACTGGCAATTCCATGCTGGCCTTTGTGGCACAATGCCTATGTCTGTAAATCCTAGCACTTCAGAGGCTGAGGCAAGAGGATCAGCGAGTTCAAGGCCAGCCTGAAGTAGTTAACAGCCTGTCTCAAAAAACAGTGTGGGAATAACCATACTCTGCAGCCAAGTTAGAGCTTGCTTTATCCAACTGGAATGGAGCAGCCCTGTTAGCATGTACAAGTTACCCTGGCAACAGGCACATGAAAGATGTCCACCAACCCTTTTTTAAAGGCATATTGTGCATAAGCTCCTTTCCTTGTGAAGGGCCTGTGTTCCACGTATCTGCCTGCATAGCACACATGCAAGGACACCATGTTTCCTTAAAAATAATTTATTTGTTTCTGGTGACAAAGAGGGAAGGGGGCAAAGACCACAGCTGCAATCCCTTAGCTGGGCACCTGCAGACCTGGTGGCATGTCAGGTGCCTCTCCGACAGCTGCAGAGTATGGCATCCAGCCACAGAGACAGAGCTGCCCTGTACTGACTAAAAGGGGACTGTCACTTTTCTAAGGCGCTCCTGAAGGAAGGAGCAGGTTAGAAACACCATCCATACATACAAGACTTAAAGCTGCTAAAGTATACTCATGGGAGGCCCCTGAAGGGGCATAGATTAGAGTGCCTTTTACCCAAGCTCCCCGAGTCCCCCACATCCCAGGGCGGCGATGGAGGAAGGGCAAGCCAGGCCAAGCGTGAGGCAGAAAACAGTCTTTATTAGTTCAGACCAGGAGTCCGTGGGTCTTGAGGACCTCTGTGAACTTGCCAATTTTCTTCTCCACATTCTTTTCAGCCTGTTTCCGTAGCCTCTGTTGGGACAAGGACAGCAGGTAGTTAGTGGCTGCCCTGGGCTGCAAACCATCAGCTGGACAGTACAGCCTTGAGAAGCACCAGCCTTACCATGATTTGCTTCTTCTTCCGGTAGTGGATCTTGGCCTTCTCCTTCCTCTTCTCCTCCAGGGTAGCTGTCACCGCCTGGTACTTCCAGCCAACCTCATGGGCCAGGCGACCCAGGTAGGCAAACTGCAGAGGGAAAGAAACTGAGCATGCTCAGGAAAGGCGATGATGCTTGCCCCAGTCCCCAGTGCTCACATGCAGCAGGAGCTGCCTCAGTTTAAAGTCCTGGGCTGTCCCCACCCCTTGCCCCCAAATGGAGGAACCAGAACCCCCTGTGCCAGAGGCAGGAGTCCTATCTGTGAGGGTGTCTGACTGCCTAACCTTGAGAGCCCATACCCACCCTGTGTCCAGCTCCCCCATTCTGGCATCAGCTGAGCCTTTGGCGTTATCGGCACTGCCCAGTGGCATCCGCAGACCATCGTGAGAAAAAGCCATCATCTGCCAGTCTTTAGGAGGCTAAGTTCCCTGTGCCAGGAAGACCCCAGTGTAACCTGGGACTCACCTTCCTTGTTGGCTTCAGGCGCACAACCTTGAGGGCGGCAGGAACCACCATTCGCTTTTTCTGTGGAGACAGAGTGGCTCAGAGGGCTGGGCTGGAGACATGCGAGAGAGGCTGCTGGGGCAGGCGTCTCAGCCAATGTTCTTTTCACAAAGCTCAAACAATGTAGGTAATTGTGCAACATCACAGACGCCAGGCAGACCAGTGCTGGAGGTGGGCGCAGCTCACCTTGTCATAGGGTGGTGGAATCCCATCGAACACCTTGAGGCGGTCCAGGGCAGCTTGGCCTCGCTTGGTCTTATGGGGCAGCATCCCTGGGGACAGAGAGGCACAGGCTCCTCTGAGGAGCTGAGGGACAACCACCTCCCCTCCAGGGCCAGCTCAGTGGCCTCAGATGGTAGTGCATGTAGAGTCTTCTCATGGTTGGGGAACTCGAACACAAGTGGGAGACGTTCTCATCATCGGCCACCAGCACCTCCCACCTCACCCCATGCACACTCACCTCGCACAGTTCGCCAGAAGATGCGGCTAGGGGCCCGGAAGTGGTAGGGGCCACGAGATGGGTTGGTGTTCATCCGCTTGCGGAGAAAGGCCAAGTACTTCACTGGAGGGAGAGCACAGGACGCCTGCCTGGTCTGTCAGACCGTGACAGCCCCCAGGTGACCCCGGAGCCCTAGGGTCTTCATGCCTTCAGCTTGAGGAGCCTCAGCCCCCACGGGGAGACCCTTTCCAGCAGTCATCTGGGGGTCTAACTTACACTTGTTTCTGTAGAAGTTGCCAGATATATTGATGCCCTCACAGCGCACAACCACCACCTTGTGCCCTGGTGGGAAGAAAGTGGGAAGAAAGTGAGGACAGCAAGGGGACCATCACCTTTGAGGCACAAGAGCAGCAAGCCAGCCTCCTGCTCAACACAAGTCCCTTTTGAGCGGGGTTCCAGCCGCAGGGGAGCCCCCAGCTGGCAGGTCTCAGAGCGGTGCATGGGGTTGATCTCAAGGTCGTGAGACTCAAACGAAAGATGGTGATTGTTGCTCATCACTGACCTCCAGGAGAAGCTAAGGGAGAAGGGGGCAGAAAAACTCACCCAGCAGGACCTGCTTGGCCACAATGGCTGCCAGGCGGCCCAGAAGATGGCCTCTGCCATCCAGCACCAGGACCTGTAGAGGATGATGAGAGGCCTTAGGAGAATGACAGCCAAACTCTCCCGAACTAGACCACATCCCACCTTACCCAGGTGACTTCTGTCACACCTGAAGGGTCACTTTCTGCTGAAGAAAGTCTCAAGAGGGGTGACCGGTGTCAATGAGCTAGGACACCAGGATGATAGGATTCTATCCAACTATATAGTGTCCCCAATCATCCAGCTATAAAACTATTATCACTTGTGTCACAAATCAATGACTTTCTTCTGACATACAAAATAGTTTTTACCAGAATTTTTAAAAGTGTTTTCTTTGCCATGTTGCCCAGGTCAGCTCACACCTGGGCTCAAGTTCCTCCTGCCTCAGTTTCCCCAGTAGCTGGACTACAGCTAAACCTCACCACACCCAACACTCCCACAAATTTCATAACTACCAAGACAGCTTCAGGTGCGGTAAGGTCAGAGAGACTAGTCCAAGGCCCAAGATGCTTCTAGGTCCTGGGGAAAACTGCAGAAGCTCATCCTCAGCAGCGTCACCAAGAACAGAAGTTCTCATTGTAGCCTGACGTGGTGGTGCACGCCTGTAATCCCAATACTCAGGAGGCTGAGGCAGGAGGATCACTGTGAGTTTGAGGCCAGCCTGGGCTACAAAGTGAGTTCAAGGCCAGCCTGAACTGTATAGTGAAAACCTGCCTCAAAAAAAGCAAAAAGTTCTCATTGTAACCCCTTATATATATTGAAACACAGTACCACCACACAACCCACTAACATTCTGATTACTGGGGACAGTGTAGAATACTGTAAATCTAAAAGCAGACTTCAGGACAAGACCTTGGCTAAATTATCTGTCCAAGGTCCCATATTATCACCTGTAAAAATGAGGCTGGCATTGGCTTCAGGAATATACCAGAAATGATTTCCAAACTAGCCACAGGAACCACGTGCTGGCAGCCCTGCCATTCACCCTAGGTGCCTGGCCCAGACTGGAAGCTCACTGCCCAACAAAGGCATAAGCATAAGCATAACAACTCCCAAGGCAGATATTCCCAGAGCCACCCTCCATGTACAGATGCCGGACGGCGAGCCGAAGGCAGTTTCCCAGCGGCCCCGGGCCGGCTTTAAGTCCCATTACAGAGGCATTTATCACTGCCCTTCGCTTCCAGGGCCAGTGCACCTTCAAGGCATCCACCAACCCAGGAGGCTGAAAGACCTCCTGGGACCCTCTCCCGCACTGGGGACAACAACTCCCGCGACCCGCTACGAAAGGGGTCGTAGAATTAAAGCACTGCAAGGTGCAGGGATCCCCGCTGTCTGGCGTCCCTGTATCAGCGAGGAACAGCTGCGTCCGTTGTGGCCCATTCTCGGCGCTACAACACAGCCCTCAATGCGGGTCAGCATCGCTGGGGTGACCAAAAAAAAAAAAACTTATTCCAAAAAAACTTTTAACTTATTCCGCCAGACCCGACCTGAAGGGCAGACAATAAGCGAGATCTGGCTAAAAAACCCCACCGACTATCCCTGGGCCAGCACTCTCTCCACTACCTTTCACCTCGAGAAAAAATACAGTGCCACAATTTTAAGTACGCCTTAGAACTAAACCGCAACGATTTTGCCCAAGCCCACGTTAGAGTTCCCTCACGTCAAGCGGCCCCACTTTACTAAAGTACCACCGTAAATTTCACAAAACAAATAGGAGGACAAGAGGACTAAACTCCGTCCCCGCCCGGATTCCCAGACGACCCCATGCCGCTCCAACCCGCAGCAAACCTAACCTGCCCTTCCGCCATCTTCGGCAGCTGCCTGGGAAAGGAAGAAATGTTGGCGCAGGGTTTCTTATCCTTTGCTTCAGGGGCGGAGGAAGTGACGCAACCTGGGCCGCGCTTATGCCCTTTTGTCTTTTGATTGGCCAAGGTGCTTCGCGCGTGCGTAGAGACAACCCACTGGAAGGCGGGTCGTTCTCGGATTGTCCAATCTGAGGAGCAGACCTTGGCAGCCATGGCTGTGCGGGGCGAGCAATCACGTGGTTAACCGGGCTGTTCTGCTGGGCGGGGCCGTCCAGCCTTGGCCGCCATATTTATGAGGGGCCGCTAACCCTCTTCTTTTGGTCTGTGCGCCATGTTTTTGAGGGAAAGTCCCATAACTCTCTCTAGCGAGTAAAGGCTGCAGGACATATGGTGACCCGCAGGGGGCGAGCAGACCTGCTTGGCGCGCCTCAGGCTCGGCTTGGACGTCCGGATTGCCCCGGGTTCACTGAACCCTGGACAAATTCCAAGGCATTGGCTGGCCCTCGGCGTCCGCAGCTGTGAGACAGGCGGAGGAGGTCGCTTTGGTGAAGTCTGGGAGCAGATTCTGGGGCAACTCCCAGAGGTCTGGTTAGGACAGTTATGGAGAGGCTCTGCTACTGAGCGGCACGCTTCTTGACAGGTCTTGCTGTGTAATCCAGGCTGGCCTCACACTCTATGTGATCCTCCTGTCTCAGCCTCCCTAGTGCTGAGATTACAGCACGCAACACCGCGTCTGACCAGCGTTCTGCCTCCTGCTTAGTTAGAGTGACCTCCCTGCCCTACACCCTTGCCCCTCTAAAGCTGGCTGACCACACACCGTTCCCTTTGGCTCAGGGTCTTTTCTTCCAGAGCTTCCCTATGCTGCCTCCTTAAAGGCCTGGCAGCCCTTAATCCTCAGATCCCAGATCTACATCTTCAAACACCCGGATCCCTGCCAGGCTTGGTGGCACGTGCCTGTAATCCCAACCCTCTGGTGGGAGGCTGAGGCAGGAGAATCACTTTGAATTCGAGGCCAGCCTGGGCTAAATATTGAGCTCACGCCAATCCTGAACTGCACACGGCACGACCTTGTCTCAAAACGAAACAAAGGAAAAACAAAAACAAAAAAGCTGATCCTATGCCAGACCAGACTTCAGATCTAGTTCTGGCATTGCCCAGCGTTGGCCTTGAGTCCCAGGAGTCCACAGAAAACAGGAACTGAAGACTGGGATGATGGTGCACCCTTGTCCTCTCACTTGAGAGGCTGAGACAGGGCGATCCAAAGAAAGTTCAAGAGGGCTGGGGATTTAGCTCAGCCGCATAAGCGCCTCCCTTGCAAGCAGGCAGTCGTGAGTTCGATCCCCGGTACCGATAAAAAGGAAAAAGACCAAAAAAAAAAAAAAAAGTTCAAGGCCAACCTGAGCTATGTCACATGACCCTGTCTCAAACAAAAGAAAAGAAAAAAAAAATGAAAGAAGAAAGGTGAACTAAAGGAAGCACTGTGTTATAACTGAAAAATCAAAGGCGAAACAGCGCCATCCATGCCCTGTCCCTTCCACAGACAGGCCGGCCCGAGCTGGTAGAAAAGAACGATTTATATACAGGTTGCTGAGGACAAGCGCTTTGTACAGCAAGGGGTGAGTGGGGCCAGGGCTGTGTCCTGGCATCGCCTCCGTCCTGGGAAGAGAGCCAGGGTAGCAGCACTGACGAGGGAGGCAGCAGCCTGCGGCCAACTTCCGCTGTGCCCGGCGCGTCCTCTGGCAGGTGACTCCTCTAGCTGGAACCGGGTCCTCCTCTGTGAACAGGATGACAAGCGGGCGTCAGCCTCATCCAGCTGTTTGCAGGTCAGCGGAGGAGGACGGAGAGCGATCTCTGCTCAGGCGCCTGCCCAGCGGCCTCTGCTGCAGGGTGGTTCACCTGTTAGCAGGGAAGCCCCCGCAGTGGGTGAATCCTGAGTCCTTGAAATGCGGCCAGTGCCACCCAAGAGCTGCGTTTTTCATTTCACCTAATTGTAATTGATTTTGCTGGGCCTGATGGCACACGCCTATAATCCCAGCGCTTACTTGGGAGGCTGAGGCAGAAGGATCACTAAGTGTTCAAGGCCAGCCTGAACCACATAGCAAGACTCTGTCTCAAAAATAATAATAAATATTTATTGGTGTTTCTGATAGAAATCTGCTTTCTTCCTAGGAGGCTAAGGCAGGATTTGAGGCTAACCTCGACTATATAGTGAGACTTGTCTCAAAAGAAAAAGTGTTATTTGAAGTGGTATGTGGTAGCACAGGCCTGTAATCCCAGCAATCAGGAGGCTGAGGCAGGAAGATCTCAGCAAGTATGAGCCCAGCCTGGAATAGTAAGACCCTTTCTCCAAGAATGGGGGGTGTGTGGATAAGCCATTTGGGGCTGGGAAAGTAGCTCACTGGCAGAGCACTTGCCTGGCACACATGAGGCCCTGGTAATAAAAAATAAAACAAGACAGTCTGGTGTTAAATACTGGTTGTCCCTTACGATGTGTGGCATTTGCCTCTCTGTGCTTGGGCTTCCTGCTGTGGAGTGGGGGTGATGATGATGGTCCCCCTTTTCAATGAAGCGATTATCCCTGGACAGCTATGGCAGCAGGCCAGGTCCCTGAGGTGTGTCCTGTGCCAGTGGTGACAGAGACTCCTTCTTGTTAGAGTCTGCTGGGCCTAGGGACCCCAGGGCCTCTAGTCTTGCCTGGTGTGTTTCTAGTTGCTCCTCCTTCCATACCCCAGTAGGCTCCCCTCTCCATTGGCTGACATTACTGGGGCTCCCTGAGCTTGGGTGCCTGAGGACTGAGCCAAGCAGACCCCTCCATTTGTTTTAATTTTATCTTTTGGGCACTGGAGATGGGACCAGGGCCTCTGCACTGAGCTACCTTTCTGGGCCTTTTTATCTGAACACTGGGTCTCCCAAGTCACTAAACTGCTCAGGTAGGGCTCCAACTTGCAACCCTCCTCCCTCAGCCTCCGGAGTGCTGGTATCACAAATGGGTGCCACCACACTGCTCCTTTTCTAGTCTAGCTGCCCGCCAGGAATCCGCCCAAGCCCGGGATCTGCACAGGCGCCCCACGCCACTGCTATTGAAGGACTTACCAGGACCAGGTGTCTGGCAGCTCCTCACTGGGCACGTGGGGAGGGGGCACCTGCGGCCCCCAGGGGGTCAGGCCCAGGCTGGGGGCGGGGCCTCCATCTCCAGCCCCTCCCCGCCTCCACCCCTCTGGCTCCCGCCTCACCCTCACCGGGCAACCCGCACCTTGGCCTGCACCGCAGCCTGAGCAGATACCAGACAGTGGGCAGCAGCAGGAGGGCGGCCAGTGGCAGCAGCAGCAGGAGGAGCAGGGACTGGGATGCTGGGGTGGGCAGCTCTGTCGCCTCCCGGGCCCCTGGGCTCCTTGGGGGCAGGGCAGTGGAGGGGTCTGTACCTAGAGAGCAGAAGAGAGGCCCACCTGGCACTGGCCGTGTGACCCGGTATGGGGCCCATGACTGTCATCCCTGCCGTGGGGAGGCTGAGGCAGGAGGATCTCCAAGAGTTTGAGGCCAGCCAGCTACTTAGTGAGACTGTCTCCAAACAAACAAAACAAAAAGCTGACAACAGTGATAGACTACTTATGTATTAACTATAATAGTCTATGTAGAATTTCTATCTAGAATATATACATATATTCATGTTTAGATATAACTCTGATCCTATCAAACAAACTGTCTATTCATTTCCTACGACTAGGTACATACTCAGTATAATCGAATTATTGGTCACACATGCACACACATAAAAACTTCAATAACACAAAAACTTGAGTTTTCAACTGGGCATGGTGGTGCATGCCTGTAATCCCAGCACTTGGGAGGCTGAGACAGGAGTACCAATGTGAGTTCACGGCCAACCTGGGCTTCAAAGTGAACTCAAGTCCAGCCTGAACTGCATAGTGCAACCCTGTCTCAAAAAGACCAAAAAAAAAAAAAAAAAAAAAGTTTGAGTTTTCAGGGTTTTTTATTTATTTATTTATTTATTTATTTATTTATTTTGGAGACAGGGTCTCGCTATGTATTTCTGGCTGGCCTTGAGCTCACTTTGTAGCCTAGGCTGGTCTCGAATCCCCAACGATCCTCCTGCCTCAGCCTCCTGAGTGCTGGGATTACAGGGGTTAGCCACCACGCCCAGCTAAAAATTGAATTTTCATAGGGCATTGTCTTTTATCATATGACAATAAAATTACTTTGTTTTGATGCTATAGTACCAGGCCAACCAGAATAGCAGCCATTTGCCCCATGTGGCTATGGAACTCCTGACCTGGGGTTTGGGTCAGTGGGCAAGGGGCTGGGGCTGTTACCAGGCTGGCACCTCAGCTCCAGGCACTGAGAGAAATTCCGATGGGTGATCCAGGGCTTCATGGCCTCCAGCTGAGCCACAGTGTCCTGCAGGAGGTGGGAGATGTTGGTCTGGACGAAGCGAAGGCAGCTGGGGAGGGGCTGAGGGCAGGGCGGAGAGGTCACGACCGAGTTGCCGGCTTCTCCTCAGGCTGAGGGTGCTGGGCAGAGCAGCCTTAGTAGCACCCTTCCTGGACCCTGACCCTGCACCATCTTCCAGGGCCTAGCCATGCGTTGTCCCCCAACGACAGATCCGACAGATCCCGGGGACTTCAGGAACTGGGGTCCGGCTCCACCCCCTCGGGAGCTGAAAGCATGCCCGGGGAGCTCCGTGTCACAGCCAGGGACCGCATCCCCTCCTGGTTCCTGAGTTCGGCACTGACCTGGAAGGCACATACGGTGACAAAGTGGATCTCCGTGTTGACCATCTCCAGCAGCTTTTGCATCTTCAGCCCGGCCACTGTCTTGAGCCGCTCCATCCAGCGCTGGGCTAGGACCAGGTGCCAGAGCTTCCCGCAGAGCTGCTCCTGGGAGAAGGAAAGGCCTGGGGTCAGAGGGGGAGCCCGGCTCTGGGGCCTGGGAAGGAGGCGGGGCCCACCCGGCCCCGGGTTGGGCGGTGGTGATTGTCATCCACCTGGGAGCCCTGGCCCGCAGGTGCTGCCCTTGCTGCAGGCGGCTCCCCACTTTCGACCTGGCCCCTCCCGGGCATGACTCACCTCCTGCAGGTTGGCGGCCAGCGTGACTGGGTAGTCTTGGAGCAGGTAGTCAGACTGCAGGCGAAAGCAGGACAGGCCTGGCTCAGAACTGGGGTAACCAAAGCTATGGAGTCTCAAAGATGGAGGCAGAGACGGAGAGAAGGGCAGAGTAGGTCCCCGGGGAGGCGACAGACTCAGCGCCGCCCCCGCGCCACTCCGGCCTCAGCGGGCCGGCAGGAGCGCGGGCCGGGGCTGCTCACCAGCTCGTTGAATTTATCTCTGAAGTTGGAGGAGATGGGGTTGTAGGGGAAGGAGCAGTTGGGGGTCCCGAGCAGGCTGGGGCTCAGCAGCAGCAGCAGCAGCAGCAGGGTGCACTGTGGGGGCCGGGCCGTCAGCGGGGCGCCCCCCAGCCACCGCGCGCCTCCCAGCCTGGCTCTCTGCTCTCCGCGCCAGGCGGCTCCTCTCGCCCGTCTCCCCGGGCTCTGGCTCTGCCTCTGCTGAGTTCTGGGCTCACCGGGCCCGGTCCCAGCGCTCCTCCACGGCCCCCCCGCGGGTCCCCCACTGCTATCTGCACCCGGCTCCTGTCTGCTTCCTCCACCTCTGTCCGCCTCCCGATCTCGGCTTCGCCCATCCTGCGCCCCAGGTGTACGCACCGTCGGTCTCCAGCCCGGCGCCAGCGCTGTCATCGCGCCCCGGGGCTCCTCATGCCTGTGGCCGGGTCTCGGAGGGGACAGAAGAACTGGGCTCGGACAGGCGCCCCGCGGCCCCCTCTCCCGTCCGCCCCCTGGCCTCCCCGCCCCTGCCGCGCGCCCTTGATGTGGCTGGGTTTCCGCACCTTGCATCCCCCGGCTTCCTGCGTGAGCCCCAGTTACGGCGAAAGCTCATCGCCCCTTCCAAGAACCGGCGTCCGCCCCAGCCGGCTCGCGGCCGGGACCCGGCACCCGGGCCCCACCCCCCTGCACCCCAAACCCGGGCCTTGGAAGGGAGACCTCGGCGCCACCCCTCGGGACCCGGAGTCCCATTCCCCTCACGCACCAGGCTCGCCCCAGCTGGGTGTGGAAGGGCCAACCCGGGTGACAGCCAAGGATCGAAAGTAAAAAGGAATTTTGGGGGGAGACAGCAAGCAGGGGTGAAAGCGGGTTGCGGCGGAGGGCGCCCCCTCGCGGTGACAGCGGCTCCTCGAGGGGCTCAGCCTGGAAGGCGCGCACCGAGCGCAGAGCGCAGCGGGATCGCGGGGTCGCCACTCCCTACGGGTGCCGGCCACCTTGCTGCCCTTCGCTGCCCCTAGGCCATCCAGGCTCGCCTCAGGTTGGTCAGCTCCACCTTTGGGCTGTGTCCAAAACTCGGTTCTCCAAATCTCGACCAATTCTCGCCACCCCAACAGCCATGGTCCAGGTCCTTACCCCACTGATCTTTGGGAAGCACCTCAGCGGTCCCCTCCTCCCTGGTTGCCTGCCTCAGCCCTGACCCCAATGCATCGCTCATGAGGTGGCACCCACCTCATCGGGTGTAAAAGTCCGAATCCTCTTCGTGTTCCACACGAAGCAACAGGACGCACCCCCATAACTTCGTCCCTCACCTTCTGTCCCTCTCCTAGCCAGTTCCACCTCTGGGCCTCCTTGCTGTGTCTGAGGTGAGCATATTCCAGCCCCAGGACCTTTGCACTTGCGGTTTGCACGCCTTGCCCCCACGTACCCACAAAAGCAGCCCACCCCCATCTCAGGCCTTTGCAAAAATAAGAAAGCAAAAGAAGCAAAGGATTCCTGACATCCTTTGCAAGCTGCACCCCCTCCCACCACCCCTGTTCCCCCTGCTTGGTACTTATCACCTTCTAACACACCATGTGGTTTACTTATCTTCTTAATTGTCATTTGTCCCCATGGGGACATCAGCTCCAGGAAATCTTCAGCTGGTGCAAAGGAGTTGTGACCTGTCCAACTCCCCAAGAGCTATGCCTGACTATAGCAACTGCTTCATGGATTTTTTTTTTTTTTTCTTCTCAGTACTGGCAACTGAATTCATGGCTTTTGCACTGCGCTACATCCCACCCGTTTTTTTGTCTTTTTCCTTTTTATCAGTACCAGGGATCGAACTCACGACTGCCTGCTTACAAGGCAGGCGCTTATGCCACTGAGCTAAATCCCCAGCCCCTTTTTATTTTTATTTTTGTGGTTTTTTTTTCACATAAAGATCTGGTTTAAAATTTTTGTGTTTTTTGAGACAGAGTCACACCGTGCAGTTCAGGCTGACCTTGAACTCACTTTGCAGCCCAGGCTGGTCTTGAGCTCACAGTGATCCTCCTGCTTCAGCCTCTGGAGGGCTGGGATTATAGGTGTGCATCACCACACCCAACTGACCCCTTATTATTTTTAAGGGTCTCCCTAAATTGCTAAACTGCCCAGGCTAGGCTTAAATTGCTTTCTTCCTGTCTCAGGCTCCCAGTGCTGGGGTTACAGGTTACAGGTTTGCACCACCATGCCTAGCTCACAAACACTGGTTGAATGAATGCATGAGTGGGTCAGGATAACCTCTTTCTCCCCTCTGTTGTATAAGAGAGGACTTGGCTGGTGTTGGCTCTGGTAAATTCTTGGAATTTCCCCACCATTCAGGGTGTCACTGCTTCCCTGGCTGTACCTCCACACCTGAGTTTATGTGGAGATGAGTCAGGAAGCCGGGCTGGGCATGCCTGGAAGACCAGTTATGTGATTGGATTCCAGTTAGCACCTGGGAAGGGCAGCTGATTGTGTCTACCTAATGAAGCCCCAGTAAAAAGGCCTTTAAAAAAATTTTTTTTGAGACAGGGTTTCACTAAGTAGCCCAGCCTAACCTGCAGCTCATGGGGATCCTCCTGCCTCAGCCTCCAGTAGGTGGGACTACAGGTGTGGCCCATCATGCTTGGTTGTGATCTGTTATCATTAGAGTAAAAATGTGGCTATAGTTGAATTTTTTGGAATTCTGTGAATTTTTTTGGTTTGTTGAGACAGTCTTGCTATGTAGCTCAGGCTGGTCTTGAACTCACAGCGACCCTCCTGACTCAGCCTCTGGAGTGCTGGGATCACAGGTGGGCATCTCCACACCTGACGTGTCTCATCTTTGATGACATCTTGGCCACAGCCTTGCACCTGGTCCCCAGAGGAGGAAGCTTCTGCTCTAATTTGCATGGTTGTACTTGGTGTAGAAAGTGCTGGGATCACAGGGGTATGCCACTGTGCCTGACATTTTTGTGAGTTCCAGAGGCCATGGGAGCCCCCAAATTTGTAGCTGGAAGGGCAGGTGACCTGAGGACCCCCCAAGGGGGATCCTGAAATGAAGGTAGGATTATAGGGGTGGCACCCTTAGCCCACAGGGAGAGCACAGCCACTGAACTGGGGCGCTGTGGGCTGAGGCTTCACCATGCCACCTGCTCGCAGCAGTGTGAGGCACATGGATTTCATGCCAGCAAACTCCCAGAGGTCACAGCAGGAATGGCTATCTCAATGCTACTTTAAAGATGGTGGCCAGGATATAGCTCAGTGGCATAATTCCCTACCTGGCAAAAGCAAGGGCTTGAGTTCGATTCCCAGTACCTAAATAAATAAATGAAGACACCAGGCTTGGTGTTGCATGCCCCTTATCCCAGCACTCTGGGAGGCTGAGGCAGGAAGATCACAAGTTCAAGCCCAACCTGGGCTATTTAGCAACTCAGTGAGACCCTATCTGGAAAGAAAACAACAAAAAAGGGCCGGGGATGTAGCTCAGTGGAAAGGCCCCAGGTTCCACCCTCAGAACTGGAGAACAAAAAGACACCAGTCATCTGGGCCTCCCCGGTCTCAGACCCCGTGGCCCCTGGGGCCTCCAGTGGGAACCTCCATGCTGGCTCATGGTCCTGGTGCTCTGCCCACCTCCTTCTCACCCTCCTGGTCGCAGGACTGTGTTAGTTTCCTGTGGCTGATGTGACACACGATTAGGAGTTCCGGGGCTTTGAGTAACAGACACTTACTCCCTCTCAATGGGGCCTGGAGGCCGGAGCCAAAGCCAAGGTCCAGGCAGGCGCCTTGTGCTGCAGGCCCTGCGACTGTCCCAGCTTCCGTGGCTGCCGCATTCAGTTTGTGGCCCATCTCTGCCTCAGTCTTCACATAGCCTCTTACTCTGTCTTTCTCTGTGTCAAGGACCCTTGTTACTGGGTGTAGGTGGGGCTTAGCTCAACCCGGGGTGACACTCATCTTGAGATCCTTAATATAATGACATCTATAAAAACCTGTTTTCTGGCTGGTCTGATGGCAGTGGGTTATCAGAACTTATTAATATTAGTGTCACTAAAGTTGGTATACCACATCCCCATTGCTAAATTTGACTGGCTTTAAAAAACAAAAACCGGTTTTCCAAGTGAGGCATCCTCCATAGCTTCCAGGGAATGGGATGTGACATATCTCCTTAGGGGCTCTTCAACTCACTACAGGTTCCCAAGATTGCCTCCTGTTACAGGAGGTTCTTTTTTTTTTTTTTTTTGGTCTTTTTCGTTTTTATTGGTACCAGGTACCAGGGATCAAACTCACGACTGCCTGCTTGCAAGGCAGGCGCTTATGCCACTGAGCTAAATCCCCAGCCCCTACAGGACGTTCTTTTTTTTTTTTTTTTGGGTCTTTTTTCTTTTTTTTATTGGTACCGGGGATGGAACTCACCACCACCTGCTTGCAAGGTAGGCTCTTATGCCGCTGAGCTAAATCCCCAGCCCCTACAGGACGTTCTTAATGCCACCCCTTTCCAAGGTGAACTGGATCCCACTGACCTTCAAGACTCAACGAAAAGCCAAGCATTTTGGTACACACCTGGGATCCCATCACCCAGGAGGAGGCTGAGGCAGGAGGATGGATAGTTCAAGTCCAGCCTGGGCAACTTAGTGACTTAAGGAGATTCTGTCTCAAAATAAAAAATAGAAAAGGCTGCTTTTAGCTCACTGCAAAGGCCCTGGGTTCAATTCCCTGTGTTACAAAGACCAAAACGACAAACAAATGTGAAAGTAGAAGAGCAACTGTGATTGGGGGGAGGAAGGACCAGGAGAGAGGAGGAAGGAAAGGATGGGTACCATTGAGGCACAGTACAGCTACAAATGTTCGGGAAGGGCATAGCAGACCAGTTAATTTGCATAATTAATGTGAGTGCTTGTTTGGTTCGTGAGGCTCTGGGGACAGAACCCAGGGCCTTCTCTCTGAGCCACACCACCAGCCAGCTCTTTTCATTTTAAGTCTCACCTAGTTACCCAGGCTGGATTTGAGCCTCCCATCCTCTTGCCTTAGCCCCAAGTAGCTGGGACTACAGGTGTGGGCCACCACACGCAGTTGTGATCTGTATTTTTTAGGGTAAAACTGTGGCTATGACTGTAGCACTTTCCAGACATTTTCTTTGGTATTTTTAAACAGGGCCAAGCTGTTTCTAGACCTTGACTTCACAGAGATCCTCCTGCCTTAGCCTCTTGAATGCTGGGGTTACAGGCATGGGCTATCACATCAAGTTTGGTTTTAGTTTTTTGATACAGGGTCTTGCTATATAGTAGTTCAGGCTTGGCTTGATCTTTCTATCCTCTTGCCTCAGCTTCCCGGAGTGCTGGGATTGCAGCTACAGGCTACTCTGCCCAGGCGAGTTAATATTTACAATTAAAAAACAAAGTGATCTTGGGGCTGGGGATATAGCTCAGCAGCATAAGCACCTGCCTTGCAAGCAGGCGGTCATGAGTTCGATCCCCGGTACCGATAAAAAGGAAAGAGAAAAAAAAAAATGTAAAAAAACAAAACAAAAAAAGTGATCTCAATGCCAGTGACACCTTCATTGGGAAGATTCCCATTGCCACCCTCATATACAGCCCCCAGGCTGACTGGGGGCTTTCCTGGGACACTGACTGCCCTGCACTTTTTCTGTTCTCCTAGCACATGTCACCTTGGATTATGTCTGTGTATCTGGCTATGATGGCACATGGCTGGAAACCCAACACTCTGGGAGGCTGAGGTAGGAGGACTGCAAACTGGAGCCCAGCCTGGGCAATTTAGCAAAAACCTTTCTCAAAATTAAAAAGTAGTGTTGGGTGTGGTGATGCATGCCCATAATCCCAGCACTAGGGAGGAAGAGGCAGGAGGATCGCTGAGAGTTCCAGGCTAGCTTTGGCTATAAAGTGAGTTCAAGGCCAGCCTGAACTGTGTAGTGAAAACTGTCTCAAAAAGACAAAATAAACAAGATTTAAAAGTAAAAAGAGGGCTGGGGATTTAGCTCAGTGGCATAAGCACCTGCCTGGCAAGTGTGAAGTCATGAGTTCAAATCCCTGGTACCAAAAAATAAATAAATAAATAAAATAAAAGTAAAAAGGGCTGAAGATGTAGCTCAGTGTATACAGCTTGCAGGCCTGGCTTGTCTCCAGGTCAGGTGTGTGTGCCTGTGCATGTGTAATCTCCGTGTGTAGTGCTGGGGATGAACTCAGGGCCCTGACCTTAGAACAAATCCCCGGCCCTCTCTTTCGAGTTAGAGCTCAGCTTTTGCTGCCCCCAGCTTTATTTCTCCCACTCCAAATTCCTAACAAACTCAGCTCCCATCTGTTCCCACCTGAACCTCCCATACCCTTTGTACCCTGTCCTGTGGCAGAGACTATGGGATCTCCTGGCTAGGCCTGGGGCCTGCTGAGCTGTCTCCCTGTCCTCTGGGATGACAGCTGTACCTGGCCAGGACCTGGACACAGGGCTCAAGGATTTTTTGAGACAGCGTCACACTACGTAGCCCAGGCTGAGCTGGAAGTCATGGGGATCCTCCTGCCTCAGCCTTTGGAGTGCTGGGAGTATAAGCATCCACTGTACCTGGCAGGCCTGACAGGTATCACTTTGTCCTTTCTCAGCCTTAGCTGAGAAAACTCTAAACTTGGATGAGGTACAGTTCCTTCCTCTGCGTGGTTCTCTCATCTCTGGCCCTTTCCATTTCACCCATCACTAGGGAGGGACCCAGGCCCAGAAGCTTATGTGGTCATGTGCCTTGCTTTGGCCAATGACACTACAGAGTAAGTGACAGGCCAGGCCATGTGTGATGGTGAACCATACACCCATGAAGTTTCTGGTGTGGATCCCCTCAGAGTTCATGTATTGCCAGCTTATCAGCAAGTTGATATGTTAATTGGATTTGGCTGTGGGTCTTTTGGGGGGTGACTGGATCTTGAGTGCATTAACTCATGGATTAACAGTGTCACAGGCTGTGGAGGAAGTGGTTTGGATATAAAAGCAAGCCCAACTAGGGATGCTGGCCCAAGCCTGTAAACCCAGCATTCAGGAGGCTGAGGCAGGAGGATTGCTGCAAGTTCAAGGCCAGCTTGGACTACACAGTGAGGCCCTATCTCAAAAACACAAAACACAAAGATACTGGATGAAGAGGCCTAAAAGCTTCCTAAAAGGCATGAGGCCTTGGCAACCCCTTGGCTTAGCTCAGTGAGGCTCATTTAGATGCTGAGTTCCACAATCCTGACAGGCTGTTTTCTCTAAACTCCATTTATGGCAAGCTGGGGGCGTAGTGACAGGAAACACTGGTACATCAGTGTCTGTGGTCAATGGTCGCACGGGATGGCCAATGTCCAAGGCAAGCTGCCCAGGCCGGACGTGACTGGACAAAGGAGGACACCTGACCCCAAGCTGGCCAATTAGATCCCCTGCTGGGGCTGAGGGACCCGGCCCTTCCTGCCCCAATTGGCTGTGGCTGTGACAACAGGATTAATGGATTCAAGGCCCGAGGCGATGCACGAAATCAAGCTCAGCAGAAGGACTCTAGAGCCTTTCCAGGGACTTCCCAAAAACCCCTCCGCCGCCCTCATCAGAATGCCCTGGGTGGGGGATCTCAGAGTCCCCTTTATCTGTCTCACAAGCACAGTGTTGTCCTGAAGCCGCCCACTGGGCTGCTGACTCTAGGAGCTAAAGGCCTCCAAGGAGATTAGAAGTCATCCCTCACCCCCCTGGCCCTCCGAGCACAGCCAGGCTTGGTCAGACAGTTTATTGGAGGACACAGGAGCATGAGAGGAAAGTTCCAGTTGCCTGGTGTCTGCTGGGTTTGTCTCCACCCCATGGGACTGGCACTGGGCATCAGTCCCCCATGGGCAGCCACAGGGCCTTGGTTCGTGCTGCCCGCAGTGCCAGCTCTGAGCCTGTCCCCTGGGGCTCCTGATCCCAAGCCCGAGGGTGGCCTCTGTTCACCCACACGGGCTTGAGGTTCCCTGCTGAGGCCCACTCCACAAACTGGGAGCCCTGGGGTGGGGAGAGGAGGGGTTAGTGCTGTCAGTGGCTTGTCTGCTAAGTAGCTGCTTTCTTAGCACCAGGTTAAGAGAGGAGAAACCTTAGGCCTGGCCTTCCAGCCAGCAACCTTTCCAGATGCTGGGGGCAAAGTTCCTCTGTGGCTAGGGAACTTCCTCCCCATGGACACCCACATCGATGGGACTGGGGTCTAGGGCACCAGTCACTGGGAGTCCCCAGCTGTACCAATAGGGGATGTGGGTGGGCCAACTTGGGGCTCCAGCTCCAACTGTCACTCGGGTGTGGTCCTAAGCAATGAGTCATCCAATGAGATGAGGTCTTTGGACCAGCTCTTAGGCCCTGGTTGCTAAGGAGATGCCCTTTCTTAGCAATTGTGGTTGTAAAGGGGCAAGACCTCAGAACCTTGTGGCCAAGGTATTTTCCCCTCTTTAGAGGAGTTGGGACGGGGGTGTGGGGACAGGAGGAGCTCGTCTGTGGACACTAAACCCTGAGGGGGAAACAGAGCGGACCTTGGCAGATCCGAAGTACCACAGGGCCTGAACGTCTTGGTGCAAGGCCAGGCAGCGCGTCAGGTGGTCACAATCTCCCGTCACCACGTTCACCAGGCCAGCGGGGAACATGGAGGCCACATCCTGGGGGTGAAAGAGTGAGCACTGGAGTGTGGCTGTGAGGCTCTGGAAGGGAAGGGATGGGGCCATATACAGATGCAGCCTTGGGTGGGACACTGGGACTCAGGTTACCATAGTTACCAAGGAGCCCTGCCACACCTCTTGTGCTGCCCCAGAGTCTGCTGGGAGCTGCAGCAGGCAGGTAACTGTACCTGGCAAACCTCCAGGGCCAGCAGGGGACAGGTCCTGCTGGGCACCAAGACCACAGCATTGCCGTGAGCCAGGGCGGGGGCCAGCAGGGACACGAAGGCAAGCAGAGGCCACTCATCAGGGCACACAATGGCCAGCACACCAAGTGGCTCCCGAAGCCGCAGCACAGGGCCTTTGAGCCCTGCTACCTGTAGGGACAGATGGCAGGTCAGGGACCGGGCAGGGGAACCTGGCTACCCTTCCCACCTTCTCATCACCTTCCCTGTTCTCATCTTTTTTTCTTCATAACAGATCCAACAACAATATGCTCAAAGCTGGCATGGTGGCACAGGCTTATAATTTCCAGCCCTTAGAGGCTGAGGCAGGAAGATCTTTTTTTTTTGTTCTTTTTCCTTTTTATCCGTACCACAGATCGAACTCATGACTGCCTGCTTGCAAGGCAGGCATTTATGCCGCTGAGCTAAATCCCCAGCCCCCAGGAAGATCTTTTTTAAAAATTTATTTTTATTTTTAGGAGGATCACTTGGAGTTTGAGGTGAGTTCAAGGCCAACCTAGTGAGACCTTGTCTCAAAAAAGGAAAAGAATAAAAAGCATTTCATTGCTAAGTAGCTGAATATAACTGACTCTAATTAAGTTATGCTTTTTTTTTTTGTACCAGGGAACGAACTTACAACATTGTGCTTGCCAGGCAGGTGCTTATACCACTGATCTAAATTCCTGGCCCTAAGCTATGCTTTTTTGTTTGAGATAGTCTTGCTATGTAATTCAGACTTGCCTTTAATTCATTGTATAGCCCAGGCTGACCTCTTGCCTCAGCCTCCCAAGTGCTGGGACTACAGGTGTGTGCCACCATTCCTGTCTGTCTGTCTGCTGAGACAGGGTCATGCTATGCAGTTCACGATGGCCTTGAATTCACTGTATAGCCCAGGTTGGCCTTGACCTCCTGTCTCCTGTCTCGGCCTCCTGAGTGATGGAATTATAGGCATGTGCCACCACTCCTGGCTCCAATTGTTTTTCTGTTTTTAAAAACAAAAACCTATCATAGAGGGCTAGGGATTTAGCTCAACAGCATAAGCACCTGCCTTGCAAGGTGGTCGTGAGTTCGATCCTTGGTACCGATTTAAAAAACAAAAAAACCTATCATAGTTACATGCATTAAACAGGCTTTATAACCCAACCTGCAGAAACCTCACTGTAGACGGCACACTGTCTGCCTGTGACACAGACAGGAAATTGAATGCAGAGGAAGTGAAGCCCTCTGTTCACCGCAGGTGGGGGCACAAGGCTCCGACCCCACGCCTGGCTCCTCAAGAGCCTCTAGGTAGGTGGCGATCCTATCTGGCTGCCCTACGCAGAGCCCACTCACCTGCAGGGTGTGGCCCTGGGCCTGAGCCTGGGCGTAGGCCGCCCATAGCCGGAGTCGCCCTGCACTGAGCTCCACCTCCGTCTTGGCAGCCTCTGGATCGGCTCCGTGCTGCTGCAGCCTCTCGGCCAGGCCAGCTCCCCTGCGTTCCAGCGCAGCCGCCAGCGCCACTAGCAGGGTCGCCCGGACCCCTGGAGGCTGATGCTCCCAGCTGTGGGCACGGGGCACATTGGGGCTCCCCCGGTCTGGTTCCCGGATATACACCCCGTCCCAGCCCCTCCCCAAGGGGTCCCAGCTCGGCAGCCGCTGGGGTCCCCACAACCCTTCCTTGCCACCTGCGACCCAAGCTCTCCATAGTATCCCCTCACCCAGCAGCGGCCTGGTGAGCAGCCTCCACGGCGCCTCGCACGTCCTTGGCTCCGCCCTCAGCCACATAGCCATGGAGGTTCCCAGAGGAGTCCCAGATGGGCCTGGAGCTCCAGGCCCCAGGAGGCTGGAATCGGCCCCCTACGAAGAGCCCATAGGGGGGCACTGGGCTGGACAAGGGTGAGGTGTGAGGAGCCCCACTGCATAACCTTCCCAAGCTCTGATGAAGTCCTGCAGAATCTCTAAGTCCCATTCCCATGAGCCTCTGGGGGATTCCAATTCCCATTCCCATGAGCCTCCAGTGCACCCCAAACCCTTGGTGGAGCACAGATGTCTATGGAGCAGGGCAAGGCTCTCCTCAGGCCTGGGGTGAGTGAGGCACTACGACTGACCATGCCACTCTCCACAGGACCCAGTGACCCCAAAAATGGCCCTAGCCAGCCTCCTTTTGGGCGTCTTGTCCTTGGGGGAGCCTGACATAATCTCTCCTTCCAGTGTAAGACCAGCTGGCACTGAAACAGCTCACCTGGGTCCTGTTTCAGGCCCTGCCGGGAGGCTCACTGGTACAGTGAGACCAAAGCTGTCATAGTTCAGATCTTGGTACTCAAAGGGCAGCCGCTCAGGGGTCCCTGAGGGCTGCAGGTACTCATACAGACCCTGTAAGAAGGGTTGTGTCATGAGCTTCAAGGTGCCCCAGGTGGGAACAGGGATCAAGGGGACACAGTTGTGGTGATGGGGAGGGGCACTCACATCCAGGCCCCCGTGCCAGGAAGACCCACTCTCCTTGCAACCACCTGTGGGCACTGCGGGGTCTCTGAGGCCATGGCTGTTGACCCACACTGTGCCCACCCGGAGCCTGTGGGACGGATGGAGAAGTCAGAGAGGACAACAGGAAGCTGGAGTGCTGAGCCAGGAAGGGGGAAGGGAGGCTGCTGGGGAAGGGGATGGAACTGGGGGGAAAGAGGGGAGGCTAGGCCGCCCCCACTGCCTGGTAGGGCTCACAGACCCGTAGGCCAGCTCCAGTGCCTGCCCCAGCCTCTCGCTCCACACGCTGGCGCTGCCTCCCCGAGGTGTGCTGTTTGCCACTGCCAGTGCCTCCTTGGCTGTGCGGAAAGAGGAGGCCACGACCAGAGGCCAAGGCACCTGCAAGGGATTCTGGGTGCTCAGGGGTCTGATGAACCCCTCCTTCCAAAATCCCACCCATTAGAGCACAGGCTTAGGGCAGTCAGCAATCCCAGGCCCAGGCGATGAGGGCACCCAGGGACCTGTGATGGACTGTGGGCTGGGGAGACCACATCTTTGGGATCCTAAGGGGCTCACTTCTGCCTGGGCGCATGGTGAGGCGGGGGGCAGACCCGAGACCAATGTTGGGGGATAGAATGGGCTGGCTGAGAGCACAGGGATGGCCTGGAACACCTAGAGAGACAGAGAAACAACCAGAGAATCTTCCATCACACAGTGCCCCTCCCTCAGACCGGGCTTGCCCTACCTGGCTTCCTATCTGGGACTTCTCCATCTGGGACTCACCTCCGCACCCTGGCTCTGGGCCTCCTGCACATAGCACTGGGCCACATAGTGGGCAGCGGCCCCCCGGGTTCCCATGTCCACGGCCCCATCTAGTCCTCGGCCACACCTTAGCTGCCCCATCCTGGTCTGGAGTCGCCTGAAGGTTTCCTCCCACACAGATTCTTGGACCAGGAGCCTGAGACCTCCCTGTGAGGAATGGACACCCAAGTGGTCAACATCAGGGCCTGTGGATACAGGAAGCGGATGAGATGTCCCCATGGAGGGCTGGGGCAGAGACAGAGGAGGCTTATGGAGAAACAAATCCATATGGGGATGCAGGGATGGAAAGGTGGGATGGCAAAGGCAGAGATGGGAAGACCAGGGACAGGGACACCCAGAGAAATGAAGAGTCCTAAGGGCGACGCACACAGAGCCTGAGAGGGCCCGAGATAGGACGGCCTGTCACAGAGATTCCGAAGTGAGCAAGGAGTCCAGACGCATGTGGTGTAGACAGAGCTTTAAGTCCCTAAGAACTGGATACCCATGAATAGGGATGTGGGACCCTACTGTATGCAGAGACTTGACGTCCCCCAGGACGCTGGGGACTCCAGTGCATGTGTCTCACCGGGCTGCGGTCAGACCAGGCTGCGTCCACAACACCCTCCACGGCTGAGTCCAGGTCAGCTGAGTCCATGAGCAGCAGCAATGACTCTGTGCCCAACGCGAGGCTCAGCTCCAGCCTCTGGCCCGCCAGGCTCTGCCGCAGCACACGTGCTTCCTGAGGAACCCGCAGGGCTCAGCGGAGCAGGAGCCGCCGGGCCCAGCCCCTTCTGCCCCCAATGAGAGCCCTGAGGGTACCTCCACGGCTCCACAGAAGGCCACTTTCTGCACCCCAGGACAGAGGCCCAGGGTGGCCCCCAGGGAGGCAGGGCCAATAATCACATTGAGGATCCCACAGAAGGCGCCGAGCTCCCCTGCCAGCTGGGCCAGAAGGAGGGGTGTCGGGGAGGCTGAGGGCACAATGGCCACCACGGTGCAGCCTAGGGAAGGGGAATAACTCAAGCATCCAGGGGTCCAGGTCCAGCCTCCTCCTTCAGACCTGGAGGTCCAGGCCCAGCCTCCTCCCTAGACCTGAGTTTCTGGGCCTCCAATCTCCTCCTTTCTGAGATCAAAGGGTTAGGACCCCAACCCATCATTTACCTACTGCCAAGGCTGGGCAAATCCTCCACATCATCTCCAGGAAGGAGAATGTAGGTGGTAAGATGAGGCCGATGACTCCTACGAGGAAAGAATGAGGGGGATAGGGGTCACTACATTGGATTCTCAGAGAAAGGGACCTGGGGATGGGATACTAGGTCCTCACCCATGGGCTTCCAGCCTGCCAGCGCCTCTTCTTGAACTTGGGCCTGGACTGCCTGGTACTGAAGCAGCTGCTGGGCCAGCAGGACATCCCTATCTCGAATCTCCCTAACAGCCCGCCCAGTGACCAGGGAATCCAGTGTCCACAGCAGCCGCTGGTGCTTCTGGATCATCTTAGCCAGCCTATGGAGAAAGCAAGGGGATTGGGTAGTCCTAGGGCAACCAGGACTACAATCCCCATCAATACCTGGGGTACCCCTGCATCTCACCAGAAGCATAGAGCACCAAAGATTTATGGGCAATGTAGTCTGGAATTTCTCAAACCCTGGGAGTACTGTGTATCTTGGCCCTCCATAACCCCCACCTCAACCCAATAGTGAGAATATGAGTCTCAACTGTATTTTGAGAAATGGAATCTCTGCTGATAGTTGCTTCCAAAATGCAGTGGAGAACAGGTTTTGGGGGTATACTGAACCCTACTGAATCCTGAGGGCATTTTAAGAAACAAGATGCTTTTTCATTCCTGTCTCAGAGAATCACGGGAAATGGGTGTTCTAAACACTAATGCCCCAAATGCATGCTGGGAATCTGAAACTCGGGTGCCAATTAATTCAGTGGCTTACGGGCCACACTTCTCCCTCATCACCTGGTCAGGTGCTGGGCCCGTTTGGCTCCAGGGACTCTGCTCCAGCTTCCCAGGACCTCCAAGGCTGCCTTCACTGCTGCAGCCACATCGTCAGGCTCTGCCAGGAGGCAACTGGCCAAATTCTCTCCTGGGAAGAAAAATGTAGGGACTCAGGTGAGAAGAGAGCTAGGCTAAGATTCCCAGAGCTCGCTGGTACCTGAAGGCAGGAGAGCTGGTCCCCAGCTCCTCCATTTGTGCCTGGTCATTCCTGGATTACCGGGCACAGAAGGGACTGTAATAGCTAAGAATGTCAGGAAGGTTCCCCCAGCAGTTGGGATGACTTTCGGGGGTGGGGGGGGCTGGCTAGAAGTCCCACCCCCATCCCACAGACCCCCCCAACCAAGAGAATGGGGTGGGCACAGCTAGAAGACACAAATGGCCCTCTCCTGATGATGGGGGACAACATGTACCTGTGACGGGGTCCTGGCATGGCACGGAATTCCTGTCTTCTGGCTTTAGCCACTTCCCATTTACATAGTGGCCCAGGAGGCGGTCCTGGGTGTCCAGCCAGGCCTGGGGGAGGGGACATTTTGGAAAAGGGCCTATGACACAGCTGGGACAGCTCAGTCCCTATCCAGAATCTTCTTGGGGGAGACACTGGTACCTCTTCGCTGCATCAGCTCATTATTTTTCTTCTATTTTTTTTTTTTTTTCTTTATGAGGTACTGGCCATTGAATCTAGGGCCCCCTGCTCTACGAGTAGCTTAGCTACTCATCTTCCTGGTTTCTTCTCTAGTGTGGTAAAATTCACTATTCTAATCATTTTAAAGAGTACAACTTAGCAGGAATGGTTGCAAATACCTGTATTCCTAGCACCATAAAAGGCAGAGGCAGAAAGGTGCCCAAGACCATATTTAAAAATAAAAAAAATTGGGGGTGGGGATTTAGCTCAGCGGCATAAGTGCCTGCCTTGCAAACAGGCAGTCGTGAGTTCGATCCCTGGTACTGATAAAAACAAACAAACAAATAAATAAATAAATAAAATTTTAAAAAGGGTTGGCAGTGCCAAGGGCCTGGGTTCCATCTCCAGTACTCCAAACAAGTATACAACTTAGTGCCCTATAGTACATTTATAGTTGTGCAACCATCGCTTCTATCTGATTCTACAACAGTTATCCGTCCCAAAGGCAACCTGTACCTGGTAAAGTCATTCTCCATTCCCGCTCCAGCAGCCACGAATCTGCTTGTGGCTGTGGATTTACCTATTCTGTGCATCTCATAAAAATAGGACCCCTCAGTGTGCTCTTTCTGTGACTCCTTTCTTTTACCTAGCATGTTTTCCAGGTATATTTGTGTTGCAGGATGTATATCAGGACCTTGTTTTTTTTAATTTTTCTTCTAGTACTGAAGAAAATTTTAATTTTTCTTCTAGTACTGAGGAGCAAATCTAGGGGCACTCTTTATTGTTAGGCTCCATTCCTAACCCTTTTTATTTTACTTTTTTAAAATTTTTTTTTTTTTGCCTTTTTCCTTTTTATCGGTACCGGGGATCGAACTCACGACTGCCTGCTTGCAAGGCAGACGCTTATGCCGCTGAGCTAAATCCCAGCCCCTTCTTTTTTAAATCTTAAAGCAGGGTCTTGGTAGGTTGTCCAAGCTAGACTGGGTGTTTCTATCCTGCCTCAGCCTAAGTATGCAAAGTGTGCAAAACTCTGCCTGTGGTTTTGTCTCCTGAGGTACACACGGGGGCAGACTTTCAGGGCTACAGGTAAACCCACTGAGCTTACTGCAGTTTCCACAGCTACCACTTTACATTCCCATCACTAAAGTTCACTGGCTTTAACTTTTTCTTTTTTCATTTTTTTGAGACAGGGTCCATGTAGTTCAGGCTGGTCTTGAACTCACTGTCTAGGCTGCCTTGAACTTGAAGAGATTCTCCTGCCTCAGCCTCCCAAGTGTTGGGATTACAGGCAGGTACCACTTCACTTGACTCTTTTGTAGTCCTGGGTGATATAGCCCATGTGACAAAGGACAAACTAACTCCAGCCCTTAACCTGTTATTCACTAAAAGCATGACCTATGTTTTCTTCAGAGGCAGTCAGAGATTTAAAAATAGTGTTTTGCTAAATCTTGCAACTCTTGGGGCTGGGGATTTAGCTCAGCAGCATAAGCGCCTGCCTTGCAAGCAGGCAGTCGTGAGTTTGATCCCTGGTACCGATAAAAAGGAAAAAGACAAAAAGAAAAAAAAAAATCTTGCAACTCTTCACTTGGGCCTACAAATGCCCAGCAGGTAACTCAAAACAGCACAAAGCTTGAACTTTTTTTTGGTACTGGGAATCGAACTCACAACCTCACACTTGCCAGGCAGGCGCCATGCTACTGAGCTACATCCCCAGGCCTTGAACTCTATAGTCTCCCTTTCTCCCTTATTGCAGACAAATGTATGTTGCTCATTTAGGATAAATTTATTAGAACAAAGCTTATTAATCCCCAATTTACCCAGGCCATTTTCTTCTTTTTCTTGCTTTCTTTTTTCTTTTAAAAAATATGGAATGTTTCACAAATCTGCATGTCATCCTGTGCAGGGGATGTGTTAATCTTTTGCATGGTTCCCATGTTAGCACAGGTGCTGCTGAAACCAGCATTCTCTTACTTTCCAACCCAAGCTTTTGCCTGTCAACTCTTTTATTGCTTTAGCTCTAATTCTCATTTCTACTAAGACAGGGACCCAAGCCAGCCAGTGCCATGAGGACTCGAATCCATGACTTCATCTGAGCTAAGTGCTCTCCTATTGAGCTACAAATTCCCAGCCCTCTTTAAAAAAATTTTTATTTTGAGACGGAGTTATGCTCAGTTACCCAGGCTGACCTCAAACTTGAGATCTTCCTGGTTCAGCTTCCTGAGTAGTTGGGATTACAGGTGTGCCTGCCTCTATTAACTTTTTTTCATGTACTGGAGTTTGAACCCCAGGTCTTCACACTAATACATATTACAGTCTCCTTCTGTTAGATTTTTTTTTTTGGGGGGGGATGGGATCTCATTATGTAGTTCTGGCTGGCTTTGTACTCAATGTATAGCCCAGGCCTGCTTCAAACTTGAGGTGATCCTCATGCCTCAGCCTCTTGAATGCTGGGATGACAGGCATGTTACTCCTCTCTACCCCATGCACCCTTTTTTATCTTTCATTTTGAGGCAGGGTCCTGCCAAGTTGCTCAGATTGGGACTGAATTTGGGATCTTCTGGTTTCAGCCTCCCAGAGCTCTGGGAGTATAAGCATTTACCACCACCCCAGCTTCTCCTGGACTTTTACATATGGAGAACTTGAATAAATGATTACTAAACCCTTTTCTCCTCTACAGAGAAATGACCTCCGGCTTACTTTCTGTTTCTCTAGAAACCTTACATAACTTGGCTGTTACTAGGTGACAATGACCCCAGATTGGACTACAGTACCTACACCACAAGGACAGGGAATGTACCAGAACTACCCAGCAGGAAACCAGAGAGTTGGTACTTCCTGGGATGTTCTGCACTCTTGTAACTGGGCACAGCCCTGCTCCGCACCCTAGGAGACCAGAAACCTGTCTTTGGGATGTGGGGCTTAGGTTTCTAGACTGGGACTCCTGCATTTGCCCACCTGATCTTGCCCCCTGCATCCAAGGCCTGACCCTGCCTGGCCCTGAGCAGCCTATTTGGGCTGTGAGGCCTAATGGCCTGGGCATGGTGGCATCCCTAGAGTTAGGATACACAGCCAGGGCTGAATCCTATTAGGGTTTTTTTGATACAAGGTCTTGCTATGTGGTTCAAGCTGACATTGAAATTGCAGTGATTCTCCTGCCTCAGCCTCCTACATGCTGGGATTATCAGGCAGTGCAACTATGCCTGGCTCAGGCCAGGGGTTTCTAATATTTTTCACCTCTGGTGAAGCCATCTGCAGCATGGCTAATCACAGTCCTTTCCTACAAGAACGTGGTGAGGATTACACGAATCAGGGCATGTTACGTGCCCAGAATAACTCTCCTTCCGGTGCTCGCTGTTCCTTTTATTGTATCTTATCTTCTCCATATGTCCCAGGTTTCCTTCTTTCCCTGTCCTATTTTCCTTGTTGCTAAAGCAACACACACATCCCACTGTCTCCTCTAAATGTTCTTCTCTTAGCATCCTGTCTCAGCAGCCTTCTGCCTGTCTTATTTCTCTATAAAACAAAATGGTCACCTCGAAGTGACCCAAATATGCAGATGGAAAGAGCCATTTTTACCACAGTCAGGGATTTGTAATCATGAATGAAGAATGCGTTATGCCAAGCTGGGGATCCCAACACTCAGGGAGGCTGAGGCAGGAAGATACCAAGTTTGAGGTATCTTCGGGCATAATAGTGAGCCTATCTCAAAATTAAAAAAAAAAAAAAAAAAAAAAAAGAGCTGAGGAGATAGTTCAGTGTGAAAGCCCTGGGGTGAATTCTCAGTACCTGGGGAAAAAATTAACTATTAATGCTGTGAAATGTAATAACTGAGCAATAGTTCCACAACAAAGTGAGTCCATATCTGTTAAAAACAGAGACAAAGCCTTGAGTATGGTGACACATGCTTATAATCCCAGCAAATGGGAGGGAAAGGCAGGAAGACCACCATAAGTTCGAAGACAGCTTGAACTACAAAGCAAGACTGTGTCAAAAAAAAAAAAAAAAAAAAAGAAAGTCAAAGTATGCTTGGGAAAATAATATGACATTAGGGATTTGTTTAAAGGACTCTTAAAGAAAGCAAAAAGAAAAATGGGATGGGAAACACTGGATAAGATGTTGATAACTACTGAAGCTGAGAGGGGTAAGTGGGAATTTATAAGTATCAGTTACTCAGAAGAAGATGGGAAATCTCCTGAAAGAAAAATCCCAAAGGAACATCCTCAGGGCCTGGCAGGTCAAGTAAGTGGAACAGAGGGTCTGTGAGGACTGCAAAGTTTACAACCTAATCTAAAATGACAGCAACAATTCATTCCAGATGAGTTTTGTCAGGGAACTGGAGCCAGAGGTTGCTACATTATGGAATTTTATTTCCAAGAGAAGCTGGAATCCCGGGTATTTATTTGGAATTAATTGTCCAGCAGCTGACATTTTCAAAAACAAAAGCTCAGGCCAAAGGAAACATGTTTGTTGGTTGAGTCTGGCCCAGGCACTGAGGTTGTGACCTTTATTATTGGTGGGGGAAAAACCACAGATCCAAAATCCAAGGACTCAAATTCAAATTTCAGTGCACATTTTTGTGTGTGATGTCAAGAACCCAGGGGTGCTCTATCATTGCGCTACATCCCCAAGTCATTTTTATTTTCAAACAGGGTTTTGCTAAATTTTCCAAGTTGGAGTAGAACTTGTGATCCTTCTGACACAGCCTCCCAGAGTGCTGGGATTACACAAGTGCACGATGACACCTGCCTGATCTCTTTATTTTTGTTTTTTTGAGACAGGGTCTCGCTGTGTAGTCCAGGCTGGTCTTGAACACACTGTGGCCCAGGTGTCCTGGAACTCCCATTGATCCTCCTGCCTCAGCCTCCCAGTGCTGGGATCATAGCTGTGCATCAACGCGCTTGGCGAGTTTCATTATCAGTCTGCACTGGTGAGTCCCAGGTTTGTCTCCAGGTCAATGGTCCTGAGGCAAGGTCCAATCAGCATAGAACTCTGACCCACTGCTGTGGCTGTCTCGGGGCTCTCACACCTGCAGTCCCCTCAGTCCTCCACCTCCTTTTCTTCCTCAGCAGTCTCACCCCCTTGCCCAATCTCCAAAAACTGCCCCGGCTCGGGCCACCTTGCTTCCGCTCGGAACCACTGCTCCCTGAAGGAACTGGAGAGGACAAAATCCCACCAGCCTACTTACCAAGAGGAACCCCTAGTATTCTCGAGGACTTTATTGAGATCATGGGAGTCCCTGGAGGTTCTAAGGAGATTTGGGGGGCTCTCAGGGCGCTGAAGAATCATAGGAACCTCCGGGGAGTCTGACTAGGGTTGGATAGATCACAGGCCCCCATGGGACTCCCACGATCACAGACTTCCCATTGGGATGTTGAGGGGTTTAAGATAACCACATAAATTCTCACATATTCTGGGGTTCTGGGAGATCCCTAAAGTACTAAACTAAACTACAAGTACTAAAACGCTAAGGAGCCGGGCGTGGTGGTGTGCGCCTGTAATCCTAGCACTCAGGGAGGCTGAGATGAAGAATCTCCAATCCGAGGCTAGCCTGGACAGTCCACAGCGATTTTGCGAGATTTTCTTTAGCTTAGTAGGAAGGCCCTGGGTTCAACCCCCCGTGCAGGGAAGGGGGGGGGGAATCTGAAGAAGCACCATGTGTTTTGGGGGTCCCCGATGACCATGAGAACCACAGCAGATCTGAGGCACTTGGAAAGTCGCGACTTCCGGGGCCCCACTGGAATCCAGAGCTCAGGGGAATCATGGGAGGCTGGGGGAGACTCCTTAGGAATCACGGGCCTCTCAAAGGGTTCTGAGGAGTGGAGTTCGACGCGGAGCAGAGGAACCACACTACGGATCACGAGAACAGCCTGAAGCGCTGAGCCAGCCACTAAGAAGCTCTCGGGAAACCCCCTTGGGCTGGGTCGTAAGGCGCCACGGGAAAGGACGGAAGCCTAGAGGGGCGGAGTAGCTGAACTGCGGCGGAGGATCACGGGAGTCCGCGCTTGAACCAAGGCCGCGAGGACTGGGAAAGGAGGGGGAGCAACGGCGCCGCAGGCCCTCACCAGTGCGCATGCGTGGCTCTCCGGCGCGGGTCCGTACTCCAGAGTGGAAAAAATCTCGCGGACGCTGGGCCCTGCGTCCGACGCAGTCATCGCTCGCCTGCACGGCCTTCCACAAAGAACTGCGGTGCGCTCAGACCAAGAGGAACCTTGAGGTCCGAAGGGTAGCACCGCCCCTTCCAAACTGCAAGGGGCGGGACCCAGGAGAAGTGCAGGGGGAGACAGGACGAAACGGGTGTCCCCGCCCACTCCCTCGCCTGCGGACCCGGGAACAGGCCTAGGGGCGGACTCTGGGAAATGTAGTTCGGAGCATGCGGTCTCCTCCACGCGACGAGGCAGCGGGTACACGAGGGGAGGCTGCTGGAGAGGGACTTCTTGAAGTGATATTTTAAAGATTAGAGGACAGTCTTTTAGGATAGACGTTGATTTTAAGTACGGCAGCCTTGACTGCACTGTAACCAGACCCTACAGCGGTTGCTAGGGGCGAGCGGAAGTGCGACTTTCTATAGGGAGTGTGGCGTTTGGAGAATCGTCTCGGGGTTTATTTTTGAGTGGATGAAGTGAGGGGCGTGGCTACCGATTTCGAATTTAATTGCTCTGTAATAATTGTGGGCTGGACGATCTGTGGCTACTTTAGGGTATGGGAGGACACAGACTGGAAGTGTGGTTTTCACCGAAACATCTGACAAGTTGCGGTGTGTCTGCAGATGACAGCTGATCGTAGACTTGACGACTGTATGTGATCTAGGGTGAAGTTATAGACTCAGCCCACATTTAGGTTTCTGAAAGGAAAAGTGTGTGTTGGGGAATCAATTGAAAGCCTGAGGCTAGGCTCCAGAGTTTGGATCCCCTCGGGGATGTAGCTCAGTGACATAGCCTCTGCCAGGCAAGCACGAGATCCTCAGTTCGATTCCCGGTACAAAAAAAAATGGGGGGGGGGATGCAGAGTTTGGATCCCGGGGAAAATTCCCCATGTCATCGAGGGTGCTGAGGATACCTAGGTCTATTTCCCAGGGTCATGTCAAGTTCGACACTGCTAGAACCAGAGCTGAGAGAGGCAGAGACGATGGGTGATGAGACGACAAGGTTCGAGGAGCTGCTGTTGCAGGTACGGATGCCTAGGTCACTGAACATTAGGGTCTTTGGTGCTAGTGATTGGATTATAGCTCCCAGAATGCACTAGAGTGACAAGACCTATGGGAATTGTAGTTCTTTGACTTAGTTTACCAGGCTGTGAAAGAAATGAGAGTAGATTTGGGGTTCATCATGTCCTTGAAGGAGGAAGAGGCCCTTGAATGCCTCATTTTTCCTGTTACAAATAGTTTTCATGTATAAGTTGCTTTATAAACATTTGAGGAACAAATGAAGGATCTGATAGCACAGACTTCAAAGCTGAAGGCTGTTTTCCTTCACAGGCTTCCAGGGAGCTCCAGCAAGCCCAGGCAGCCACAACAGAATCCACACAGATCCAGCCTCAGCCTGGTGAGAAGAACAGCAGCCCAGAGAGCTAGAGACTCATCCCAGAGAGAGCAGAACAGAAACCCAGAGAGGAGAGATAGAGCTGGAGGGCAGGAGACACAGAAAGGGATTGGGGGTAGAAAGAGACACAATACTGGGAAATAAATGAGGTAGATGCATGAACGAACACCCAGAAAGATCACCTAGGGATAAAAACCGGAAGGACAGACAGGACAGATGCTCAAAGATAAGAAGAGGGTCGGAGCCTCAGACAGGGAGGGGCACAGATCACTAAAAAGGGGACGGAGAGACCCAGTGGAGGGGAGATAGAGGCCCAGCAAGAAGACAGTTCAAAAGAGGAAAGGGTAGAGGGAGGATGGATGATGACAGAGGTAGTGCAGAGACAGATGGGCAGGACAAATCCACTCCCACAGGTTTCTGCATAAAGACCAACTCATCGGAAGGGAAGGTTTTCATCAACATCTGTCACTCTCCCTCCATCCCTCCTCCGGCTGACTTGACTGAGGATGAGCTGCTTCAAATGCTAGAGGAGGACCAAGCCGGCTTTCGGATCCCCATGAGTCTGGGAGAGCCTCATGCTGAGCTGGATGCAAGTCAGTGTCCTCAGAGGACCCAGGAGTCCGAGCCCCTAGTTCCTTTTCCTAAGACCCAGGAACCAGGGCCTAGGACCTGTTCCCTCAGGGGCCGGAAATTGCCTCCAGTCTGATCCATTTCCCTCTGGCCTGGCCCTGGCCTCCTGGGAGTCCAGCACCCAGGCAGCTGCTTTGGTGCTGCTGGGCCAGCTAAGCTGCTTACTTGCTGTCCTGCTTGGGGAGGGGAGGGAAGAGGAGGGCTGGGTAGGGGCTTCCTTGCTCCTTAACTGATCTCCTGCTTTCATCTCTGGCCTGCTCTCAGACTTTCATCCCTAATTTCTCCCCTGTCCTCTTGGTGTCCATCTCTGTGTGTCCCTGTTTCTGCCTGTAGATCTTTTTTTTTTTTTTTTTTTTTTTCCCAATTCACACCTATCTCTGGAAGCCTTCTGGGCCCAAGCTTTGGGCTGTGTCCTGTGAAGTGAGATTTACAAAACCCAGATCCCATCCTTGAGGAACTCCCAGTCATGAGTTAGGGCGAAGGCACCTGGGCAACTTCAGGGTGTGGTATGATTTGTGCTGCATGGAAGAGGACATGGTCCCTAGAGGGTCTTCACTGATACCCAGGGCTTCTTTGAGGAGGAAGTATCAGATGTAAGACTTGAAGGGATGGGAGCTCATCAAGCAGAGACAGAGAAGAAGGCTCTTGGCTCTAGGCAGAGGACAGAGGAGCCAGATGTGGAGGTAGAATGATTGGGTGATCAACCTGTGGTGGCCGGGTACTGAAAAAATTTAAACAGGTAACACTTTTAGAGGAGAGGGAAGCTTCTCCTCAGAGGTAGGAGGCCTGCAGGACGCTGGACCTCCAAAGCCAGACCAGGGGATTCCTGAGCAGGGGCATCCCTGGGGACAGGGCAATCTGCAAACTGAGGAGAAAGGCTGCAGCCTTTGAGGACACCAGTCTGAGTTGACTGGAAAGTGCTGTGTTGAGCTCTGTCACTTGTGGGGCTCTCTGGTTCACTGGCCCTATGCCTGGCTTCCTGCAGCGGGCAAGGGGTCTCATGAGCTGTTTCTTCTTACAGAAGGCCAGGGCTGCACGGCATATGATGTAGCTGTCAACAGCGATTTCTACCGGAGGATGCTGGTGGGTACCGGGTGAGGTCTGGGCAGGGTCTCACCTTCCTGGCCTCCTGACTTCCCGACCCACCATCTCATCTCTTTTGGTAGAACAGTGATTTCTTGCGGGAGCTCGTGATCACCATCGCCAGGGAGGGCCTTGAGGATAAGTACAACTTACAGCTGAATCCGGGTGAGAAGTGGGGCCTGGGCCTTCAGGCAGGAGTGGAGCCTGGCAAGGTTTAGGGGCCACCATTGGAAGACGAGCTTGGTGTGGGCAGGGATTTTCTTACTTTCTGAAGACTGGGTTACAGGGAAGGGATGGGGTATCCCCAGAGTGAGGGGTGGTGCAAGGAGCCCGAATCCAGGTAGGGGACAGAGCCAGGGCATCTAGAGAAGTGATTTTCCCACTTGGGAAGTGAGAGGCTATGTGGGTGTGGCTTATTTAAGCCACGCCTTGGGGCGTGGTCGGGGCTGGTGTTCTCGGAGAGGGCGGAGCCTCTATGGAAGCTCTCTAGACCCAACCACCTAAGAGTGAGAAGGACAGATCTTTGCCTCTCTCACCTTAGAATGGCGCATGATGAAGAACCGGACTTTCCTGGGCTCCATTTCGCAGCAGAACATCCGCTCCAAGCAGCGTCCTCGGATCCAGGAGCTGGGGAACCTACATGTGCCTGACTCCCGGGGCCCTGAGGGAAGGTGAGCCTTCGGGTATCCCAAATAGCTCCCAGTGGTCTCCCTGCTAGCCCCAGTGGGGCTCCGGGAGGGAGCTGGGAGAGAAGATGGAACTCCTGCCTTGAGACCCTCCTATGGCCTGTGCTGGGGCTGCTGCTTCCTGAGACCTGCCTACTCCCTCAGCCCCCTAGTCTTGTCCTCCCTCAGCCCTGAGAAGCCGCACCTGAGCCTTTGGCTGGAAGCCCCCGACCTCCTCTTGGCTGAAATTGACCTCCCTAAACTGGTGAGCTGGCTGGCAGGGGCGGGGCCTCAGCTTTGAGGCTGGGGCTGGAGGGGTACAGGGGTGGTGGGATCTAGCCCTGGGCCTCATGCTCCCCATGCCCTCGCCCACTATATTTACCACACGTGGTGCCACCTGGCCTGGTCTGGGTTGAGCGCGGTTGAGACCCACACATTTCCAGGATGGAACTCTGGGGCTGTTGCTGGAGATTGGAGAGAATCGCCTGGTGATGGGGGACTCCCAGAATCTGTATCACCTGGATGCCTACATCCCGCTGCGGATCAACTCTGAGGAAAGCAAAGCGGCCTTCCACCAGAAGCGAAAGGTCCCAAGGAGAGGCCTGGGGGCCTAGAACCCCAGATATGAGGGAGGAGGCTGAGCCTGGACCTGGGGTCTGGAGGTGGAGGGCAGGGCTGGACTTCTGGGTCCTGAATCCGACTTCTCTTTTTCCTCAGCAACTGATGGTGGCCATGCCCCTGCTATCTGTGCCTTCTTAACCAGCGTATCTCCCCATTCTTGCAAATGGAGAATTCTAAAATTGAATTCTAAAATTGAAATAAAAGATTTTTGCCTTTTTCCTGACTCTGGCTAGGGATGCGGGGTGTGTGTGTGTGTGTTGGGAAATGGGCAGGAAGAATTCACTGGGTCTTGAGTTCCGTAAAATCCCTGTCCCTGTGGGCCCTGAGCCCGAATTTTGGCCTCCAGTGCCTCCCCTTGCTGGCTTCCCTGGCTTCTCCGGCCTGCGCTTGCCCTTTGCAGCGCACAACCTCTGGGGCTCCTAGCACTCCAAAGAGAAGGTCTAGCCCCTCAGCTGAGTGCTCAGGCTCCATGACGCTTGGCTTCCTTTCGGCCTGTCCCTTTCACTGGGGCCGGGTTGTCCTCACAGAGCATCCTCCAGGCCCCTCACCCAGGAAGTCTATGCAGGGATTTCAGCCTGTGCAGGGGTTTCTTCCCCGGAGGCACTTTCGGGTCCCTTCACCCATGTCATCTGCAGTGTGAGCCTCACTTCCAGTTCCTGAAAACTTGTGCATCACGGTCACACCAGATTTTCTAGGGCTTCAGCCACCACTGCTAGCTGACCTGGATTAACTTGGGGTACAAACCCCTATCTTCCCCCAGGCCTATCCCCTTTATTTGCTGCTGGGATGAAACTCAGGGCCTCTCCAAATGGGCTCTCTCATTGAACTAAACTACCCCACACCTTCTTCCCAGCCCTTTTATACATTCTAGAAAACTTCCAACTTCATATATTTTGTCAATACAAGACCTTTAAACTATAACTCTCTCCCCTTTACATTTTAAGACAGGACCTCATTCAATCGTAGAGTAGTTTCAAATATTTTGATCCTTCTAGCTCTCAGAGCGCTAGGATTGCAGGTCTGTGCTATAAAGCCTGGCCCTAATTTCATACTTTCTCTTCTTGGGCTAAGTAAGTATCCTCCATCGTGGGAGAGCATCTGGCAATCGTAAGTTGGGTTTATGAGTGATGACCAACAGCCTTCCCTCCGTGTTGAGGCCAAGGGATAAGGGAGTGGAGGGACCTCAAGGGTAAATGTGGAAGAGCAGGCCAGTGTAGTGGAAGCCCTGTGAACTGAGGCCAAAAGGTCAGCAAGCTAAAACCAATCGGCTGGATGTGCAAAGAACGTAGGAGTGTCCACCAGAGGGCGCAACGTGATCTCAGGTCACAGATTCCGAGAACTACACCTCCCAGCATCCCTTCTCCTATCAGCGCAAACCGATAGGAATGAACCCCACTCATGAAGCCCAGCCGCCTGTGGGACTTGTAGTTTCGATGGGGACCCTTGGCAATAGAACTCATTCCCAGGACTGGAAAAGCGTGAGGTTGGGTCCTTTCCTCCTTTCTCCGTCTCCATGGTGATGATTCCGGCGAGGACCAGGATTTGGCATCGGAGCGGCCCCCTTCCCACTCCCTCCTCTTCACCATCTGCTCCTCCCGCACACCTGGCCCGGAGCCGCGGCCGCCGCCTCCGCGCTCAGCGCGGGACTCTGTCGCCACGGGGTGGCGCACGTGAGCGGTTCCTCAACTGTTCCTTAGCCTCAGGAGTCCCGGGCCCCATCGCCTTCTTCCTTGGGCTCGCAACTGCCTCCTCTCGAGGTATCCGGCGTTTTTTCAACCATAGACACTACTGGGACACCGATGGTCACAAGGCAGCCCAGGCTGAAGGTGACAGACCACGGCGCTCAGTGGCTTCCCGGCTCCCCGGCGCCCGCCCGCCTCAGAGTCTGCGTCTTTCTCCCCTTCGCGGGGAGCATCATGAAAATTTAATCCCAAATGCATTTGCGGTCCGGTGCGGGGAGACGGTGGTGAAGGAGGACGCTGCTGGAGCCCGGACCTGGGCTGGAGTGCAGGCCAGAGCAGGACACAGCAGAGGGAGTGGGGTCCCACCCCCCGGGGGCGGGGCTCTACCAGGGGCGGGTCTTCACCCAAGGGCGGGGCTGGAACGAATAGGGTGGAGCCAGCGCTCAGAGGGCGCGAACAAATCCCCAGGGCCTGGAGAACTCGGGACAGGGTCAGATTCGAGGGATGGAAGACAGGGTCCCAGAGGGCAACCAATGGACAAGGGGGCGGGCAGATCTAGGGGCGGGGACAGAACCCAGAAGGCGGAGCCGGAGCCCGGGGGGTGGGGATGACTTAAAGGGCGGAGCAGCGCCCAGCCGGCTCACGACTCCCCAAGGATGGATCCCCGGGGAGGGGGCAGGGTCCCGGAGTCGAGAGCAAACGTTGGGGTCGCAGCGAACAGTGGGAGGTGGATATAGCCGCGGGGAAGGGGATTCAGAGGGAAGAAATTGGGGATGGAATGGAACCCAGGGATCACGCCCAGGAGGGCTGTGGAGCCGCAGGGGTGTGGCATTCAAAAGGGAAAGACGGCAGCGATGGAGCCCAAAGATGCAGAAATTGGGCAGGGGGAGGAAAAAGAGGAACAATGGATGGGTAGAAGTAGAAGCTGGAATTTAGAGGGAAAGGATTTCCTGAAGAAGAGGAAGAAGTCTGAATGACAATGTGGGACCAGAGGTGACACGAGATGGGCACGGAATTGAGGGGCACGGGTGGGGGCGGAGGACCAGGCAGATGAAACGCAGAAGGAAGCGCTGAGGAAGATGGACCCAAAGGAGATGGAAACGTGGGCGATTCGCGAGGCTTAAGGTGGGTTCCTCGAATCTCATGGAGAAAAGAACACAGGTCGGGAGTGAAAATCTGGGTGCAAGGATGGCTCACGTATCTAACTTTGGGAACCCACTCAAGTGGGGGGCGCTGCGAGTTTGAGAGAACCTGAGGCGTGGTCTGGCTCACAGAGGCAGACTGAGGATGGGCGGGCTGCGAAGGGGGCGGGCCTAGGATGAGAGGCGTGGTCTCGACCCGCCCCGCCCCCAGCGCTCACTCCTGCGCCGGCCCCCGGGCATAGGCACTCGCAGCCTCCTTCCCCCCGAGCCGAGCTGCGGGGCCGGCCGGGCCGGGGCGAACCCCGGGAACCCGGACGCGGCCGCCCGGGCCCGCGCGCGGGGGGCTCGGCGGGGGGACGCGCTGCAGGGGCGGCCACCATGGAGTTCCGCCAGGAGGAGTTTCGGAAGCTGGCGGGTCGCGCCCTCGGGAGGCTGCACCGGTGAGCCTGGGGGGATCGCGGGAGGGGAAAGAGTGCGGGTCGGAGGGAGGCGCTGACTCCGGGAACAGATGGACAGAGGGACAGGCAGTCCCGGCAGGCGCGTGCGTGTCGGGTCCACCCATCAGCCCGGTCTCTCACTTGGGTCCGACGGCGCGGTCCTCCCGTCCACACCTGTCCAGTTTCGCTCATTTTTCTGCAGCTCACCGCACTTGAGGTCCTCCCTTCTTCTGGGGCCGGACATTTCCAGCCCCAGAAGAGAAGGGGGAGCTAACTTCACCCCTCGTCTCTGCCCATTTGCCTGAGTCTCCTTGCTCTCCCCTCCCTCTACACGTGTCCTTGTCTCTTCCCATTTATCTCTGGGTCTCTGTCCTGTCTTTTCTGGGTCTCTGTCCCCTCCTTCACTCTGGCTGTCACTAAATCTCTGGCAGCCGCTGACTCGGAGCCTCTCTTTTCCACTTTCTCTTCTCTGAGTCCTGTTTCTTGGGGTCTCTGTATCTCTGTGGCTTTCTGTGGGTTCTCTTGTCTTCGTCCTGGGTCTTTCCTCTCTCCATGTCTTTCTGCGATTCTGTCAGTCAGAGTGTTTAATCTGCCGATAAAGCGGATTGGGGCCCATTGGCCCTTGTCCTTCAGGGGGGTTAATCTGAGAGGAAGAAGCTGGGGTGTCCCAGGTCCCTGGCTGGGGGAAGGGAGTTGTTGGTTAAAAAATTAGGCCCACAAAACAGGACAGACTTTCCAAAGGAGCAGGCTGGAGTCTCAAGGGACTTCCTCTCACTCACAGCAATGACCCCAGTGACCTGGTATCACTCGAAGGTACTCTGGACATTGCCCCATCTCTCACCCCCAACCCTGGCTCTGGCTTGGAGTCAGAAAAATTACTCAGCTGCGGGAAAACCTAAAAATATCTGGCCACAGAGAGGGAGGAGACGCCTCGTCAGCGCCCTGCCTCTGCCACCCTGCCCTGGGACCCTGTGCCCTTGGCCCACCACCCTGACCCAACCTTGGGGGACCCTCAGTCCATCTCAGTAGGCCATCTGAGTCCTTTCCTTAGTTTGACAGGAGTCCTGCCTGCTGCGGGTCCCCTGCTAGCTTCAGGTAACAGGAGAGACTGGAGTCAGGCTAGGAAGAAGGTAGCCGGAGGGAGGAGGCAGGCAGGAGGATGGCGCAGTGTGGGGAGGGCGATGAAGGGGAGCTAACTTCACCCCTTCTTTTTTCCAATTTTCCAGCCCCTCCCCACCCTTTTTCTCGCCTCCTTTCACGAGTTTCTCAAAATACATCAGTGCGAAGTCAGGAGAGCGGGAGAGATGCGCAGACGGCGGGGGCTGGGGGCAGCAGCCTGGGGATGCGTGCCTCAGCCCCTCCCTAGGTCTCTGCTTTTCAGCTGCTCCTCTGGGGCTGGGTTTCTCTGTCCATCACAGCCTCATCTTCACCTCTCTGAGGGACCCCCCTGCGAGCCCAGAGACCCAAGAGCTCACAACCTCAGCCAGGACAATCAGGCAAAGCTGGGAATGTGGTGGGGTTCCCTAGGATGGCTAGGGAGTGGGGAAGCCCTGTACTGGATACAGCATAGTGTCCCATATGACTCTCTAGACCAGCCTAAGAAACTGAGACCCAACTTGGGAGTGAGGGGATCAATGACTGACTATGAGACCCATCATTTCATCCCAGATCAGTTTCTCTCAAAGCCTGGGGCAGAGGCTACAGATTTTCCTGGATGTGCATATTGGTTTAGGCCAACGTTTCTCCCAGACCGGAAAAAATTGCCCAGGGCAATTTAGGACAAGGACATAGGGGAGGGGGTGCTAGAGCCAGGTCCTACTAACAGCCAGGAATGGATCAGGCCCCACTGCATTCTCATGCATGACCTTGGCCATGACACTTCTGCTTTCTGATTCTATTTCTTCAGCTGAACACTGGGAAGATAAGAGAGAACCAAAAGGACATAAGGGCACTGGTTGTGGT